ATTTCAACAAGACTTTTTCAACCAACACAGTTCAAGTATTGTTGGTTAATGGAGACTTGGATCCACAAACTCCGTTATGGTCTGCACGATCGCAAAATGAGAATATTGGAGGTCATACACATCGCTTAATCACTGTTCCCTTTGCTGTTCATGGAACCATGGTAAAATCTCCTGTGAAAACAAAGGGTAAACCAGACTGTGTTTTGCAAATATTTGTCAATTTCATGAATATGGAAACTCCTGATGTGAACAGAGTGGATGTCTCATGCCTAAATGATTTGTCCTTTGATTTCAAAGGTATGCCAGAGGTCAATATAAACATCATGGGAGTGGAGGATATTTACGAAGGAGTTTTAGCTACCGACCCCAAACCATCACAAGAAATAACATATTCCCAAAATACTCTGATTGGAGCAGTGGTTGGATCAGTCTTCGGAGGAATAATACTCGGCTTGATCATTGGTGTGCTTGTTTTTTCAATTGTTATGTTTGTGCTAAAACACAAAAAGTCAGCCAGGACAAACCAAGGAGAAGACACCAAATATTTTTCAATGATAGAACGCTGAATGTGTTGATTGCAAGAAATTGAGTTTTTGAAGGTTTGGCATTTTTTATCTTTGTAAATAAATATTGAGATTGAAAAGTTACATAGTTGGAGATTTCTGTAATTTCTTTTTAAGTTTGCCCAACAGGTAATTGCTGTCACTACTTGAGTCTGTTGAATCTGATCGAGAGGCAAATAAGCTTCGACTTCGACTTCCAGACATGTCATACGCTTCTTCAGTGTATCTGAAACTCTTACTCTTTTGTGACAACGGTATTGGCTTTGGTTGATGAATGTCGTTGCCTGTGGCGCCAGATGTTGCCACTGAACTTTGGGAAACATCTTTTACTTTTTCTGTTTCTGACCATTTAGCAATTGCATTGTGAATGCATTCCAAAACTCGAGGCCAGAAGAGTGAAGATTCATCCTCGGTTTTTGGACTTTCCTCGATGTAATTGTGTTCTTTTTCAGGTTGTTGATCCACTATTAAGCTATAAGCACTGATTCCTTGGTTGTCACGAGCTTCAAAAAATCCAGAAAGACCACAATCAGGTGTCCAAATTCCATTCGTTTTGTTATTGAGAGTGAGGCTGAAATTTTGAAAGAGCCACATCAAAAGCCATTGAAAACCATCGAACCTAATATAAATAAGATGAGTATTTGAATTAACATGTAATAAAACTTACCAAGCTTCGGCTTCTTCCTGCGTGTTATCTTGATAAATAGTAATTCCTAGTTCCACAATCTGTATCATGATAGTTTTTCCTTTCTTATCACTATCAAAAACAATGGATTTAAGGATGTTTTGTAAAGATAGCGCTTTTTTGTCTTGAGATTTAGTTCTTGAATGGATTCTTAATTTAGGAGAGGTATGACTTCGTTTTCTCGATGAATCCTCAGTTGATGTTGACAAACTTGTATTCATATCAACGTTAGATCCAGATGAGGAATTACTGTCCATTGATAAATTCAATTCCTTGGCCGCAAATGATTGGCAATAGTTGGAAATATCCAAGCAAATGACCTTCATAGCCTCAAGGTCGTTATAAACAATACTCTTCATGAGTAAATTTTGACCAAATGAGTTTTTCATTTGGACAGCTTTTTCGAATATGTCTTTTCCGAACAGATCCACACCGTTAATAAGAATGTTGTGTAATAAATTACATGAATTTTCTGATACGACTATCGATCCTTTTCGAGCCGAAAGAGGAGAATCAGCTTGGTTAACGCTTAGAAATAAACCTGTAGGAGATGAGGAAGGAGCTTTTGTTCTCAAATCCGTAATACATGCAAATAAAGCACATTCATCTCTTTGATTTCGCTTTAAAATAATCTTTGAAGAATGTTGAGCAAGATATTTCACAGAGTCAATATCTCCATCTCTACACACACGATGCAACAAGGACTCTCCTAATAGTCCTGATGTGACATCAATCCTAGCTCCAAATAATACAAGTAAATCACACAGTTTGAAATTCTTATTTCTAAATCCTATAGTAATTGGAAGGTTTCCATGATCGTCATGGTGATGATTCAATTGTTTAGCCACAGTAGGTTGACTCAATAAAAAAGCAGCAGCCTCAACGGATGAGTAATCATAACATGTGTAAAATAATGGTGTTGCCAAATTTTGATCTTGTACAGACCACAGTTGATGTTGTCTAGCCAAACAAGATTTTGAATGTTGAGAGTTTTGATGATCGTCATGTTCTACGTGTTGAGTAGCGATGTTAAAATTTCTTCCAAAGTTTCTACTAAGCCTCTTAAATGGATTGAACGAACATTCAAACATAGGCGACGAAGATGGTAGCTCTTTCTTATCACTACATGTCATGCTTACTTTTGGAATTGGTTTTAAAACACACTTTTTATCACAACAACACCTCTTCATCCATTGCAATAACTCGACTCTATTGTTACGAGCAGCCAAGTGTATGAGTGAACACTTTTGTAATTTTGATGAATATCTCAAATCTCTAGTTAAATAATCCACCACATCTGGCACAGTTATACTCTCCAATTCATCGTCATTCATTGAAGACAATTCTTGCGCCAAGTAATCGAGTAATTCAGTCTCTAGGGTAGTTTTTGACGAGGTCACTTCTTTGTTCGAATTCTCATACGATGTAGGGAAGAGTTTTGGTACCTCATTGCTCTTAAAATTTGAAATGCTTGAGTTTGCTATCTTTTGTATGAAATGTGTTGGAAAAAGCCTTTCTCTCCAATGAGAGCCTGTCGATAGAGGAAGTGATGAAATGGAGCACAACGAGCACGATGACTCTCCAGTTACGGACGTAGGAGAGGTTGTTGATGACATCTTTTGCGTTGATGTTGTTGAACTGGCGGTTGTAACTGACATCATTTGGCTCATTAACGACTCTTCGTGAGAAGAAGACTCCTTGAAATCTGAAAGTACGTTTTCGTTGTTGTGTAGGCATGATGTTGCTGATGAAAATGTGTGAATCTCCTCATCCCTTCCCACCACCAGACTGAGAGCTTCCTTTGTTGGTGATTGCGGAAGCATTTTGACGAGGTTTGTTTTTGGTGTTTTTTCTCTGTTGTTGTATGTCTTTTCCCTCTTCTATGATGTTTGTGATGTTGGCTGATGCCTTCTATTGGGAGACTTGCACCTCCAATAAAAACCGATTTAAATATTATTGTGAGACACCAGTGGTGGATCCTTTCTGACGAGAATGATGATAATAATTTGATTAATGTGAGAGAGGGTTTTGTTTTTGTGGTGGCCAATTCAACTGATAAACATATCCAGCCAAGCAGGACCAAAGTAGATCAAGCTCAACATTTTCGGTCTATCAAGCTGTTCAATAAAACATCCAATAACAATTTCAACGATAAAAAAGGATCACGGATGATGCTGGCCATGGAGATTCTCGGAATGGATTGTATATCAAGCGGAATAGAAGTTACAAACGTACAAACGTAATCGTTAGTTTTTGAATAATTAATTTTGACTTCTTGAGCCCGAACTGCTTGCAAATTCAACGAATGAAATGGCTCGCTCAGCAACGAGTCATTTTCTGCTTTATGGAAAAACTTGGCGCAATCAAATCGTGAGTGATGCTCCCTTTATGCCGCATAATCTCTTTCTGTTATTAGTCTCTCTTGACATTTAATAGCACACGAACATTTGATAGCAAAATCGATGATCTGATGCCAACTTTGAGATTTCACCTTTCCCAAACACCTTTTCATTTAAATCAAATGCTTTCCGTGAAAGGCAATCAAATTTCGAAACAATAATTGTAAATAGATACCAAAAACCAACACCATGAATATTGTGCTGCTTCATTCATTCACGACCAATTTCACATCAAAGCAGCTATGATCATCATGACAACAACACAAACAATTCACGACTACATCAACAACAACATTAAAAAACCATCATTATTCATACACACAACGACCGAGCTCAGTCAGCACCTGACACACAAACTGAACATCTCTCCTCCGTCTCTCTGTCTCTGCAAACCCTTTTCAACCATCAACAACACGGAGAACATTTTCATCCAAAAACAATTTGCGCAAAATGAAATCAACCAGTCCTTCGAGCTCACCCATGATGGGCAACAGTACTTCATCATCACCATCTAGCACTAATCAATCTTCTCCCTATCTCTATTATTTTCCCATCACTTCGATCATTCTTCCTCCCTCTCAGTCCTCATCTACACAACCTTCTCATTATGGCGATGGTTGCTACTCACCAGTATTGAGTCAAACAACGACACATTCAAAACGATGGTCTCTAAAGTTACAAGCGTACTCTCCACAAAATTCACACAATGATCTCAGTAGTATTCATGACAATACAAATACAGCCACTTCATCCTCGTCATGCTCCTCATCGCCTGTGATGATTAGTTTAGGAGGAGGAAATCAAAACACTACCCGATCTGTCATTTCACATGCAGCTCATGAGATTTCGACCACCATTCCTAATTGTATTTTAGAATTGAGAGAAAAGTTTCAAACATTTCTGGAACAGACCACGACAACGAATAATCAAGCACCAAATGCTCCAACAAGCAAAGATGCCTATTTGAACAAATTGGCCTTCTTGGATGAGTTTTTCAGTCCTTCAAAAAACCGAATTAGAAGATTTGAAAGTTTGGATGCTATATTCGCTACCTGTGATCGATTTTTAAAGCATCTTGTGAAATCGAGCTCTTCAAGTATTGTCACAAACATTACCAATGATCGATACCCCTATTTACTTGCAATGGATGAAATTGCAAAACAAAGCTCGACGATTCCATTGCTGAGTTCTCATGAATATTGTTTGCAATGGTTCAAAGACCAAGCAACTCTCGCTTCTAAATATTGTAAACAAGAAATAGCAAAAAAGTTAAAAAGAGAAGCATCTATCGATGATGCAGCTCAACACTCCTCTGAAGATGATTCCGACAATGAAGAAGATGACGAAGAAGCCTTGGTTGAGGATGAAGGAAAGACTTCAACCGAACAAGATGATTCGACACAAGAGGAAGAATCTCTATCGATGGAAAACTACGACGACACTGGATTGAAAATGTTAACTTTAATGTTCACGAATTGTTTGGAAGATAAATTTGCACTCTTCCAAAAAAAGAATTCAAAATTTATAAGAAAATGGTTCTCAAAGAACATTAAGGAATTACCAAATCACGTGATCGATTTATTACAGAAAAAGAGACGCAAATTTCTTCATTATCATCACCAATTCAAACTCTCTGAAGAAGACATGAATGTCAAAACTTTGATTGATTCTGACTTTGAATTTGCATCCTATTTGATGGATCATACAGAAGATTGGAAAGTTCTTCTCGACGATGTTTGTGATATGGTCATGTACAAATCTAAAGAAAGCTACTCGAGTATTTATGGAATGAAAAATCAAAAAATCATTTGTACAGTTCCTTACTCGATCGAAAATGTATTGAAAACCATGCTTACCAACGAAATGTTTGGAGAACGCAATGGAATGCTCGTAGACATGAAATTCCATGCCTTCCAAGAACTAGATCCTAACATCTCCTCTAAAAAGTATTCCACAGTGATTCAAACCAGTACCATGAATTATGGACCTCTATTCAAGAAGAGAGCTCTTGAAAATGTCATTTCAACAAGAGCCGTCTTTTGTGGAAATGAAGTACAAGAAGTAATTCACTTGTACAAGACCTGCTCATTCGTTTCACGACAAGACGATTCTAAGGCTCCTGTGAAAGTGGTTGTTTTTGGATGTAGGCGTTACACCAAAGACGATACGAATCGAACACGAATTGTGGATGGCCGTCTCATGAACATGGGTGGATTTTTCATGAACTCGGATTTTGTGATTAATACGTTGGGAGCCAAAAAGATGGCTGAGGATTGGGATGAGTTTTTAAACATCATGCTTACCGAGGCAGCGAATAATAATTTTAAGGCTCCAGATCCAAAAGAGCATTATATCTGGAGAACGTTGTGTGATTATTGTCGAGTACATTGTAAAGTGGATATTACCAAATGGTGAAAGTTTTCAGCTGAAGCATGATGAAATGAACGACACCAAATTGAATGATACTCTCTGTCTAACTCGAACGAACTTTGGAACTCCTTCCTGTTTTCTAATACATTCCAAATTTTCATTCATAATAATAATACTATTGTTTCCTTGTATGAAAATGGATGGAAAGAGGATGACACCAAGTTGGAAAGCCTTCTATTTTGTTCCCAAAGCAGCATGTATGGCCATCAACGTGGCTTCAAAGTCTGAAAGATTGCTTGGATCATGGACGTCATGGTAAATCACGGGTGGTGTCATCTACCTCAAAATGTATGTTTATTCTTCACAACAAGAAACCAGATCACACCGAGTCATTTGAATTCCAAATTACAAGGATTCTGCTTTTCCCAACATGATTCAAAATCCATATATCTGTTGTTATCCACAAGGAATGACATCCTGATCCAAGGTTATGAATTAGAAGTTAAAAAATATTAAGGAAATTATCTTTATCAGGTAAGTTCTTGAAAACGACAAGCTCAAAACCTATTTAACTCAAAACATGAACTCTGTATCATTGCTCAACAAAAAAAACAAAAACCATTCATGCACACTCCACAACAACAATTTCAACAATATAACATGCAATCCAATACTCAGCCACAAGTATTTGCTTCTCAACAACCAACAACGGCAAACATGATGATGGAGGTAAACAATCCCAATGCTTCCTTGTTGAACAATCCAAGTCAAATGAGCAATCCCAATCAGCAACAAGTTTCCTATCCTAACGTTGCTACAGCTGGAGTTTGTTACAATCCTTACGATACTTATTTTGATCATCAGGGTATGAACACTTACCCAAATGTACAACCAAATTACTATCAACATTCCAATACTCATACCGAATGGTATCAGTCCAATCAACCACAACAATCAACAAGTTATTCCAAATTGAATCAGGTCTTACCCCACTTCCACCCAAGAAGGTGTCTCAAATTCAACCACAACAACCACCAGTCTCAACTTTTACGACCACTACCACTACGGTTACTTCTCAACAACATGATCTTTTAGCAGCCATTCAAATTCCTCCACCCAGCTTGGAACAAGCCAATCACCTCGCTCAACTGGAACAAGATGCTAAAAAGTGGTTGCAACATCGTCTTCAAGTCATTGAAATGCTACAAGCTCTTGTCAATGATTTGAATAAAGTTGCAACCAAAACCACAAAAACAAAAATTGGTGGAACTGCCTCGAACATCATTGGTGCTGGTTTATTGGTAGGAGGTGTAATTGCAGCTCCTTTCACGTTGGGTGGTTCCTTGCTTGCATCTACTGCTGGATTAGGTCTAGTAGGTGCTGGAACAGCTGTTACTGTCGGTTCATCCATTGTCGAATGGAAACATGCCAAGAAAATGGCCAAGCTCACTCAAATCGAATTGGAGAAGGACACCAAAGAAATGAACGAAATGCTTCGCAAGATCTTTGAATATCGATCCATTGATACTTATATGGAGTATCGTGTATTGAACTTTGAAAATTCCAAAGTGACAGTCATGCAATTCGTGAACGCATTGGTAGGAAATGGAGCAGGAAATGCTGTGGGATGTATTGGTAGTGGTAAATTGACTCATGGAAGTGCAGGAGCCACTAGCTTGGCAAGCTTGCTTATTAAGGGAGCTATTCCAATTGTGAGTATTCCTGTGGATATTGCTCTATTGGTTCAAGAATCCAAACGATTGCATGGAAAGGAACCTTCCAAGCTTGCAAGTAAAATTGTACCAGTCATTGACAGCCTGAAATTGCAGACACAACTCGCCACTGGACAATAAGTTACAAAGGAGTGATTCCGATGTTCAATAAACCATGTAACCATTTGTATATTTAATTATAATCTTAATATCGATTATTATCAAATTTTATAGGAATTTTCATTACAAAAAAATGTCCAGCCCTCCTTTCTTTCCCGATGACATTCTTTTTCATATTTTCCAATTTTTTGACTCTCCTTTCATCATCAATGTCTGTATGAAAGTCTCTCATCAATGGTTTCGTCAATCATGCGACATGGAATTGAAATTAGACTTTTCCGAATCGTTACGGGGAGGAAAGATTATTTCATCATCAGCACCATGTGGTCTCATCCAATCCTCTAATTTCAGCAAATTAACTGAACTGAATTTAGCCAACAATTTTCTGGGATCGGAGGGAGCAAAAGTAATTGCTGCATGCCCAAACATGACCAATTTGAAAGTCTTAAATATCGAAAAAACAGCAGTGGGCTATGACGATGGTTTGCTCTCCTTACTGCAAAGTCCATATATCGTAAATTTGACCAGCTTGAATATCAGTGGCCATTGCATGCAAGATGCAATTGCAGAAATGGTTTCACAAAGTGAAAATCTGAAAAATGTCAAGTATTTGTTTTTGCGAGATTGTGCTATTGGCACTTTGGGCTTTAATTACTTGTTGAGCAGCAACCATTTGGCTAATTTGCTTTGTTTAGATGTCTCAAAAAACCAAGTGGGAGCGGAATGGTCTGACGAGGAAGACATTCAGGATGATGAGAAAACTCCGCTCGAATTTGGAGCATGCCTCAAAAATTTGACCCAACTCGATTTACACAGAAACCAATTGGATGACTTTGTTGTGAAACTTCTATTCTCAAAAGGTGATACATCAAGATTTGCAAGTTTGAACGTGTTAGATTTGTCCTTCAACAGTGTTGGCACTGAAGGCATGAACGCTATCTTTTCGAATCCTTTTATGAAAAACTTGACATGTTTTAAATGTCTCTCTCGAAATGAAATTGTGATTGAAAATTGTAGTGCTGCCAGCAACTTATCAACAATACATGTGAAATTAACAAAAGGTAATGACGGACTGAAAGAACTTACATCCTTCAAAAAGTTAGAAAATCTTATCCTGAGAAACATTTCTGGATTTGGAGTAGAATTTCTTTCAGGTTGTGCGGAATTGTTAACGAATGTAACCTATTTGGATCTAAGTAATGGAAGAATTCCACCTGAGTCTTTTGAAAAATTTGCTGAGTGCAAGTACACAACGAATATCAGAGAGCTGATTCTGGATAGTACTGAGATTAAGGGGGTAGTTGCGTTGCAGCATATTTGCGAGAGCCAATATTTGACGAATTTAACATCTCTGAACTTAAGCGCCACACGGGTTAATGATGACTGTATGTATGCTTTTATCAACAGCTCATTCAGACTCCGCACTTTGGAACTAAATGATTGTGGCATTACTGCAATTGGAGCCAAAACGCTTGCCTCGTGTAAAAGCATGAACAATTTGGCAGAATTAAGAATTACCCATAATAATATTGGAATTGATGGAGCAGTTGAACTTGCAAAGAGTGAAAATTTGAGCAATTTGACGCTTCTAGAAGCAGATTCAACATCAATTGGAAATGATGGTTTTACCGCTATCGTTTCCAGTCCTTACATGAAAAATTTAAAAACCTTGCATGTTCAACTTAATGGTATCCAATCAGATGGCGCAAAACACTTGGCATCAAGCAGCTATCTCAATCAGCTGACATATTTAGATTTGAGCTATAACAATATAGAAGATGAAGGCATAATCCATCTTTCAGAGAGTCCCAATATATCCAATGTCAAGTCATTGATGCTGTGCATTAATAACATTGGAGTGTTAGGTGCAAAGGCAATGGCATCTAGTCCATTCTTCTCCAATGTCACCTATCTTGATTTAGATGGTAGTGGAATAGGAGATCATGAGTCCAAGGGACTTCGTTCCAACCAATTTGCAGATGAAGGAGCCATGGCATTGGCATCAAGTCCTTATTTCGAAAAGTTGACATTGTTGAATTTATCAGATAATCAAGTGGGAGGGAAGGAGTACGTGCTATAATAACAAGCAAATTCTTACGGAATCTTCGCGATTTAACAATATTTGAAAATAGTGTGAATGATGAGGATGCTGAATTTATTGCGAATTGTCCAGAGCTCATGCGATTCCATTCTTTACTACTTACTTACAACATGATGACTGACAAAGGAAGAGACTATTTGATGAACAGTAGCTATTTTACGTATCTCAGTTGTGGCTCATTTAGCGGTTCTAAATACATGGAAGATTAATCTGTTAGCCATGACCTCACACGTGCTTAATAACAATTCTTCACAAGTCGTAAGTAGCACATAATGGTTATTAATCGTATGGGAAGCTGATGTCTGTTAGGTATGTCGCTATTCTTTCACTCTTGGCGTTTTTCAACTACCCTTCATCGGTTGTCAATTCAAAAATACACAAAAGGCAACTCAATGGTTCAAGCATCAACAACCCATTGAAACTCTACTCGACAAGTAAAAGAAAAATGCTTCAACAACAACTTGATACATCAAGAGATCCCTTGCCAAGTTTTCACAACAACACCCACTCTTTCACTCAACGACCCGATGACCCAATGTTCTCACAACCAGATGGCATGTTCGAGCACATTCATGAAATAGTGCATGACATTCTGAATCATGCCTTGTCACAACTGAGTGTGTCATCACTACTTCTCAATGATGAACAAGCAGAATTCATTGAAGACGACACGTCGCCCACAACTATCCAAGACAATGATTCCACTGCAAGCTCAATTATATCTCATGACGAAGAAAATTCTGAAACCTTTTCTTCAAACTTGATTCAAGAAACAACAATGAGCCAATTCGCATCATTTCAACAACATTCATCACATTACCCAAATTTGGATGTAAACATTGAATCTGACCCATATGGTTTCTCATCTGCTTATTTCTGTTTTGGGTCTAACGAAGAAAATTTTCTCTCTCTCGACTCGAGCCAACTTTTGAAGTATGCGACAGGTGTTGATGGGTTTAATGGAGAGGTGATTTCTAGAGTGACTCCACGAACATTTCACTCGACACCAACGAATACAGAAAATAATGGAATGATGGATGTTGAAAGCACTTTCAAACCAAGAAGTTTGGGAGGAGATCAAGTCGTGGAACACATTCGTATGGCAGCTTATAATTTAGGAATTTTAACAAGAAGAGTGAAAAGCTTTCATGAAAATACGCATCATAACGATTCAGATGGAACAATTTGCTACATTTCAGGAAGTAATGAACGAGGTCAATTTGGTTTACCAGAAAAATTTAGAGGTACCTCAATGTTTAGAAAGGTGGATTATTTTGAAAAGAATGGAATTGTCATTAAGGATATGACTTTTGGTTCTTATTTTGCCTTGTTTTTATCTAGAGATGGAAAGCTTTATAGTGCCGGTGAAAATGAAAACGGACAACTGGGACGAAGTTCATTGGCCAATCAATTTAATATTGAACATGTGAAGGTTGTAAATCCAGAAACGAACGAAGAAGAATGGATTACGCAAATTGAAGCTGGAGCATTCCATTGTGCCTATCTCTCCAAAAGTGGAAACGTTTATTCTCAAGGTTATAATTGTTGGGGTGAGTGTTTTAAATGTGTTTCCAAGAGTTAACAAGTTGGGTTTAATGTTATACTATTTGCTTGATTGTGACATCAACAGGCCAAAGTGGACATGACGGAGAGGACATTTTGTCCCCCTCAAGAATTGATATTTTCGGGAAGGGAAAGATTGAAATAGAAAGAATTGTGTGTATTGAACATAACACTTTTTTCATCACAAAACCTAATCCATACCGCGATATTTATGGTAAGTTGTCACAATATTTTGAAGAAAATTGAAATAACCATCTAAATTATAAAAGCATGCGGGTTTTCAAAGAAGGGACAACTTGGTAAAGAATATAAGGAAGAAGCAATTCGGCAACCTGTCAAGTTGCAATTCTTTTCAGGAAAAGATAAAAGTGTTAAATCGGTGAGTGGTGGTTGGGGACATGTCATTATAGCCACGCAAGATGGCTCTGTCTATTCTCAGGGCCTTAATGACTATGGACAATGTGGCCTTGGTGATTTAGAGCCTCGAAAAGAATCCACGTTAATACCATTCTTTGCTGAAACACTGTACAAGCAATCGTATCTTGAAAAAATTGAAGAAGTTAAGTGCGGTAGCTATCACTCTTTATTCTTGTCCAGATCAGGTAAATTGTTCGGATGTGGCTACAATGAAATGGGATCGTTATCGTTGGGCACTGAGAGTTGGATTACCGTACCAACCTTGATCATTGAATTTCCAGGTTATTTAATTGGAGAGCCACATTACCAGTTGGAACTGAAAACATGGTGTTACACCACTAGTGTGTTGGTTAAAAAGAGGTCGAAAAGAGTGGAGCAATTTTTCTCAAACTTGATGCGATCATTAGAAAGAGAAGCAAATTTTTTCGATTTATCCGTTATTTAGAACAATTTTCGCTTAGAATAATTCCACACATAATGTTAATTATGCTTTGCCGTTGCAAGTCCAATACGACCATTTTGTTGATCATAGATAGTGTAAAAAATTGACTGGAATACAGCTCCAAAAATCCATTCTCCTTGTTGCAGACCATCCGCTTGATTGATAGCTCCTTGACACACCAGTTGGCCAAAAACGGGTGCCTTATTTTCAATCACAAAATCTTGTGGCTTGATCACATAATCATTGCCTCCAATTACAAACGAAAAGGTTGGAATACTTGTGAGTTTGATTTGTGAACAATCAGCAGGAATTGATACATTGGCGCCGATTTGCAAATTCGAATACGTATAACTGTCAGTAAAAATTGTGAAAGCACTTGTATCTAATTGAGCCATGCATTTCTTTTTGTAGCCAATACCACACCCCAAATTTTGGAATAGCTTGCCATTGACCTTTAAACCGTCAAATTCAAAACTCCAATGTGCAGCATCACTTGGAATTGGATAAAATTTCACATCTCCCACATAGTAATCGCTGGAGTAGCCTCCAAGCACAAGAGCTCCCTTTCCTTTCTGATGTTGTTGATTTACATTTAAAAATTCACTCAAATACACTGAGAATATTCTTTGGGAAATTAATTGCTGATTCACTAAATAGCTTATCAATGATGGGAATGAAAACACATTATTGGCACTTGGTTCTGGAATCAAGCTTAATCCCAACAAGCCATCATACTGCAGATAAGATTCCTCTAAGGAATCGGAGGACTTGACCAATTCAGCAAAGGTTACATTCTTTACCAAGACTGCTTCAGAATTATCATCGGCAAGTAAGGCCAATTGATCATTCGCGAGAATTCCATAAAATTGAAATTCTCCAATATCCCACTCGACATTTCGTCCATCGGGTTTATACGTTTTTGATTTACTGGAATCATACTTGGGATGCTTCCAACATTGCCAACCACATTTTGAGGAAGTTACTGTCAAAAATCCACCGTTCGTGTTCACCAAAAGCTTGAAAGTATTACTTTTATCAGTTCCGAAATGTGCATTGACCGTATAATAAAACTGTTTCAAATTCCAATCATGAATATATTTGCAATTATCCACAATGAATTCAACAAACAGAATCTCTTACGTTGTTATAATCGCTCAATGGAAGAACAATCAAAGGTTCTCCTTTGAGACCGACCCGTCTTGTGGTGCTGCTGCAGCTGCTTGATGTTGTTACCATGCACAAGCAAACAATGATAAAAAGAGTCCAATAAAAAAGGCCGATGACTGGTGGTTGCATTTTTTTCCAAGTTTGGTGTATTTCGGAGCTGTGTTACTCCTCCAAAAACCAATCAATTTAACTCCACAAAATTTAACCAATTCTAAACATTTGACCAAATATTATTGTGGAGAAAGTTGGCTGCTCGTGGACAGCAGCATCCGATGACAATTTTTGATGTTCATCTCATCTCTACAGAAATTTCTCTCGTGATGACTATGAAAACAATTCAGGTACTAAATTAGCCATTTTTTAAAGTCAAAAAAATGTTGCACTTGCTTTTGAGCCTTGTGGTGTTGCTGGCAATTGTCGGATCATGTTTGATATTGCCCTTCTTAACGTTTATACAATATCCCAAACGAAATAGATTTCAATTGAAACAAGTACAGAGAGATGTTTCATTTTCATTCCGCATGCTTATTCAATTCAGAAGAATTGTTTTATTTATTATGGATTCATTGGTACATCAAATACATGCGAGATTTACAATGCGGCCGACATTTAAACCAGAATATGGAAAGCATATGAACTCATCGGCACAAGTTGAAATTGTAAAGCCATCCGTGAGTGACCACCGAAAATTTAGTTTATTATCTCCCTTTGATGTTGCATTTCCACCTTCTTTTTATTGCTTCTTTTTCGAAGGATATTTGGATAGAGATGCATTTTTACGAGCAATGTCAAAAGTACTTGACGTGGTTCCTTCATTGGGTGGTAGAGTGATTCAGTTTCACTCCTTGCATGAAATTACCACAAAAGCAGAGGAGTGGTTCAATGGATTGGAAAAATTAGAAAAAGAAGTGATAAAAACGAGATTACATGTAGGACGGAAGCCAGTACCAGTGTTTGATTTGAGAAATGTTCAACTTGAAGTGGCGTTTGTCGACGATGACACTATCCAAACTAATGAAACAGGACTTTTGAGCGCTACTGAACTAGCTAAACATCTTTCAATTCTAGGATCGTTCATGACCATTGGACCTGTTAAGGTAGTTCACTCTGAAGCTTCAGAACCTCTCACACGATTCCAAGTGACATATTTACGAAAATCTAACAAGACAGCCCTAACTTTATTCATGGACCATGCTGTTGGAGACGCGGCATCGGTATCCATGGTCATGAAGTTACTTGGAGATGAAATGTCATCGAGGAATGCTCAATCACAAGCAGAAAAAAAGAAAGAGTTGCCGATTCAAAATGCAACATCCTTTTTTAAATACGTATATAATAGAGAAGATGAGAAAATTGATGACTTTGCATATTCTTATTATGATCCAACTGCATGTTATTCTTTCTTTAGAGCTGAAGTTGTCAAATATTTGGAAAATATGAAGAAAAATAATTCGAAAATTATCTCCAAGGAAGTGACTGTCACAAAAAGACAATTAGATCAATTGAAGAAAAGAGTTACTTCAGAAAATAAGGAATTAGAAGGAGCCAAGCTCACTAGCAATGAAATTTTGTCTGCCATTCTTCTAAAATCCCTTGCAATAGGAGACAAGCAAAATAGATTTCGCAATGAAAAATTACTTACCTTACGTTACGTAGCAACCTGTCGAGAAAGATGTGATTTTATTGCAAGTAATTATTTTGGTAATGCATTTGGATTTATCTTTAACAGTAGAACAAAGAAGCAACTATCTGAGGCAAAAATCAGTGACATTGTTCTCTACTTGAAGCAAGTTGCATTGAGAACTGTAGATCATCATTCTTACTGGGAGGGAAAAATTGAGGAAATGTGTCAACGATATTTTGATCCATTACAAGTCGATTTTGGTTTTCCAGCATTTGAAGGTAATGACAACTATATGGGCATCACCAATTGGGTGAAACCAATGAGTTCTATTGCCGAACATTTTAGTGACAAGTCCTTCCTTGGTGTCAGTACTCTGTGTATGCCTTTTCCTCACGTTAACAAGATTTTACCTGCCTCAACAATGTCTACTGATGGAGGTTTAAGGCTGGTTTTGTCCCTCTACGAACCTGAATATTTATACTTTATTAGCGAAATTTCCAAGTAGTCTGTACGATTGCAATCGATATGTAAATAAGTTCCAACTTCAAGATTCAAATTGATCAATCTCACGTTCTTTGAAAGAAATAAATAGATTAATCACGCTCCTCCAATTTCTTTCAAATTCATGGTCACGACAGTCGCTGGTTTAAATTGGCCATCGGGCAAAGAAAAACTTAAAAAAAATTTTTCATTTGCTTCTTCTTCGAATCACACAAGCTTCATCTTAATTTTCTCCTTCCAAATCTATAATTATTATTATTAATTCATCAAAAGCATATTTAAATTCGTGCTCTTCTCTCTTACATGCTAACAACATCATCCACTACTGCTCCGACCAATCTCAACAACCAGAAATATGTTGCCACTGACGACATTGCAACCGAGGTTGAATTATCGATAAGTTGCAACCAATTACCTAACCTTGATGTCCTCTCAAAAACCGATCCGCAAGTATTCATATTCACAAGAGATGCCACCAATCCGATGGCTCCGTGGACTGAAATTGGTCGTACCGAGATCATTTGGGACAATTTAAATCCAAAATTCGTTACAACCTTTGTGATGAAATATCGTTTTGAAACCAATCAATATTTAAAATTTGTAGTCGTTGATATTGATAATGAACGTTCCAAAAAACTAGAAGATCAAGAATTAGTAGGTGAAATGTATTGTACACTCGCTGAAGTTGTGGGCAGCAAGGGAGGTCGTTTAATGAAACCACTCATCCATCCTCAACTTCATAACACACGTAGAGGATTTATTGCCATCCGTGCGGAAGAAGTTCAAAAGTCTAATCAATTGGTCACTTTTAAGATTTCCGTCAAGAATTTGGACTCGAAAAATTGGTTCTTTGGTAAATCAGATCCATTCCTGGTCATCACGAGAGGTGGTATGGAAGAAGCTGAATTTGCTCCAGTTTACAAATCAGAATATTATCTAAAAACTCTAAACACATCGTTTAAATCATTCCAAATTTCCGCACAAAAATTGTGTAATGGAGATTTTCAACGTCAAATACGTCTCGAAGTTTATGATTGGAATAGAAGTGGAAATCATGAACTTATTGGATGGTATCAAACTACATTGGACGAGCTGATCAAACAAGGTAATCACAAATCGTACCTTTTAATTAATCCCGAATTGAAAAAGAAGAAGAAGGGCTACATTGGAAGTGGAAATATAATCATTGACAGCATTTCTGTTGAAAAGGCATATTCTTTCTTAGATTATGTGCGTGGAGGTTATCAAATTTCATTAATTGCTGGTATTGACTTTACAGCCAGTAATGGTGACCCAAATAATAGTCAAAGCTTGCATTACAGATCTGCCAATTATCTTAACGATTATCAAAAAGCCATCCTAAGTGTAGGAGAAATTCTATCCTATTATGACAGTGATAAGAAATTTCCAGTGTATGGGTTTGGAGGTAAAATACCACCCAGATATGAAGTGTCACATTGTTTTCCAGTAAGTAATTTTTTGTGACAAAATTTCACTTATCGCTGTCGAATACGACATGACCATGCATTTATGTGACAATGTCATTTCATTACTCTTAGGCCAACATGAATTGGAACAATCCCGAAGTAGAGGGAGTGCAAGGTATACTTAATGTCTATAATTATGCCATGTCAACAGTTCAACTCTATGGACCAACCTATTTTGCTCCACTCATCAACACTGCCGCTAGTTTTGCTAGAAGAGATGCCGAAACAACCTATTTTATTCTACTCATTCTAACTGACGGAGAAATTTGTGACATGCCTGCCACAACAGATGCAATTGTGGAGGCTTCTACTTTACCTCTTTCAATTATCATTGTTGGTATTGGGTAAGTTATATTCGTAACACACACATTTTTAATTTTAAATATTTATTATTAATTTGTTTACATTATTTTCAATCTCAATATTGTAAATTTGTACACAATGATTTTCCACACCATGATCGTTTCAGTAATGCTAACTTTGGCAACATGGACGTTCTGGACGCAGATGAAACTCCGCTTGTCTCCTCTCGCGGAGTCAAAATGAGTCGTGACATTGTCCAATTCGTTCCATTCAACAACTTTAAGAATGCTCATCCCTCTGTCCTCGCCCAACAAGTGTTACAAGAAGTTCCCAACCAATTTCTCTCCTACATGAAACAACACAACATTCTTCCTAAAAATCCAATTCAAGTCGAATCCTTTTACGGAACGCCCTCCATGGCTCGAATGGATAGTAGTTCCAATAATCCAAACTCATCAGCTTTTAAATTCAATAATGGACAAACAGACTATCATCAACAACAATCACAGACAACCTATCCACAGCAACCACCTTATCCAACAACAACCAACATGCAACAACCTCAACCCAGCCAACCATATCCACCCCAAGGCACTAATGGAACGATTGTGTATGATTTGAATGGACTTCCTAAATATACCATTTAACAGTGGCCATCGCATTTGTGCCCGAATAAATGAGCGTTCACAAGTCAAATAACCTTACTGGTCTTGCGGTTATAACCAACTCTCAAAAAAAAAGAATTAACCACCAATGAACCACACTTCCTAATGATGATGACATCCATCCAGCACCAACATTTATCACATAAACATTTTCGAGTGCGTCTCACAAGAGCTTGTCAGACAGCACTGATAGTATTGTTAACACTTTTTACGTTTTTCATTCTCCGATCGGAGTCGGCATCAATTTCTGACCAACACCATCATACATCAGAAATACCGCAACATTTCATATTACAATCTTCATGGATTGATCCATCACACCAATATTCCCATAATATTGAAAGGAAGCATCACGATCATTCGAAATTATTGTTTCACAATTCCGAATTTCATCCATTTTCATCATTCTTATCCTGGATACGGAAAGATATTTATTCTTCTAATCAAAATGAAACCAACAATTACATAATCTCTCAACAATCGACCAATAATAACACAAATGCCACCACCACGCTCACCTTTGGATTATATCAAGAAATTATTGTCTATTCCAATATTCCGTTTTTTGCCTTGTTTTGTGGAATGTTCATTGTGAGTGTTGTGAGCTTTGCTATTCAATACAAAACAGTACGGAAGAATCAGAAAATATTATTTGCACTGTTGTTTGCATTGTTATGTTTCGCAATATTGAATATGGTTTCTAGAATTGGATCCGAATTGTCTGTGTTAATTCCAAATTTGGATGTAGCGATCAAAATGAATCAATATGTGAAAGCAGTGGATCGAGTGGTGGTGATTTTCGTGTTGTACATTGAAATGCTTATTTTGTCTCATATTTGTAGAATTTTGTAAGTTTAATTTGGAATGGAATTATTTCAATTTGCATTTTCACAGTTTGGACACCACCAAAGCTATTAACAAAATTTCCTTAATTGTCTACAAGAGATATCAGAGATTTCTCATGATCATACTTGTCATTATTGCAGCAGTGTTTTTCCTTGTGACAGCTTTTGTTTTTATTTTTGCAGGAATTTCTTCGTCGAATATCATTCAAGATACGAGTACACTCAATTATGTGTTATTGGCATTACTAGTGTGTGGAGGTCTTGCATTTTTGTCTGCTGCCATATTGATTACTGCCTTATTGAATGTAAGTGATGGCGTGAAATTTAACTTTGGAAAATTCATGATTTAAATTTCTGAAAACTCCAACTCTGAATTTTCTAAATCTAATTGGAAATCAATGGAATAATGGAATATTGGAACATTGGAATTCAAAAAAGATTATTGGAAAAATCCTACTCTCTTCCATGAGCAGTGAATTGAAAACTGCTGTCACACAAGGCTCTCATCTCATCAAAAAGAATGCACTCTCTAGAGCCATCACTCTTCAAATAGGATTAAGCATTTCCTTACTCTGTCAAGCATTGGGATTTATTTGTATTCCTCTCACCATCCTCTGGAAATTCAACATGATCATCTTTCATCACGTGTACAACCTTGCCTTATGTATTTTCATTGTTTTTATTTTGTCCATTTTCAGTCCATTGAAACAAATTCAACAAAAATTCAAACCTTTAGGAAGTAGTAGTCAAGGACAAAGACGACGAAGAACCACATTGGCCAAAGTCATGGAACGAGTATCGGTCGTGACTGATTCGAGTGTGGATTATTATTATGAATACAGTGATGTGCCAGATGCTGTAGAGGATGAGGAAGACTACAATTCAGAAGAAGAAGATATTGAGAACAATGGTAGTGAAGGTATGAATCGAACATCCTCTTCCATGCCTTACTCGTCTTCTTTGAATTTGAGAATTGACCAAGTCAGGTGATCTTTGTTGAGAAGCGCTCATAAAAACAGTTACGAATAATAATAATTTAAAAAAAATAAACAAACGAGAATCGCAACCATGTGATAACCATATTGTGTAAGTAGTGTATTAATTTATGAATTGCTTGATTGTAACAGATAGTAAAAGAGTCCAAAAGCATTGCTTCACTCATCCCTACCATTATGTACAGATGGCTATGTATGATGGAAATTAACCCAATGATGATTACCAAAGAAGAATTGAATCTAAAGAGAAGACAGCCTTGATGTCTGCCATTTCAACAGCTCAACCTCCTATCATATCATCTATTGATAGTTGAATACCAAGTACAACCGAAACCACAACAGATTTCATACAAATAAAAATGCTTGACGTTGTTCAAATACCGATCCGCAGCGTTTCATCATCCCACACGATCAAAACATTATCGAGTTGTACAACGACTACAATATTTCTCGTGATGGCCCTGCTCATCTTGTGGATACCCTCCTATTCGGAGAACATGGTACATGCTGCTTTCAATTTTTCCTCCAGTGAGCCACAAATTGAATTTGCCAAGTGGAGTACCGATGTGCCAGTATTTGAGCTCGGATCTAAACTTGATGTTACGTTTTCAGTATTTGCTCAAAAGCCTGCAGAGTTTTTAATTTCCTTGTTATCCCAAGGTGCGGATGGTGGAAGGCCGAGACCTTATTCTCTATCGGACGCTAAATTTTCATACTTGAATGATGTGGCTGGACAAGTTGTGAACAAAACATTGCAAATTAGTTTACCTTTTGAAGTAGTGGAAATGGAAGGAAACTTTTATATTGTTTTTACGACTACGAACACGGTGGATAACAAGGAAATTCAGTTCAAATCAGAGCCATTCAAACTCTCGGTGTCCAACATTTCCATTTCGTGGCCAACCATTGTATTGATTCTGTTTTTCCCACCTGCTTTAATTTTGGTTGCAGTCATTGGTGCATTTGTGATGTGTAGAAGACATAAAACCATCACGCAGCAAGAAAATCAAGAACTACAGGAGGAGTACCAACAACAATATGATGACGATGATGTTGACATTCATTTTGATCATGATGATGACGATGACGAAGTTCAACGACCTAACAAACCAAACAGAAACAATGACAACGAACCTCGTGTGGCATTTGTTTTAGAGGATGATGATGATGACGACCATCAACGAAGAAATGCACACATTGATGATGATGACAATGTCGAAAAACGAGGCAATTTCTATTACACGAGAAACGTTTAAGCCTAACTTAAGTTACAAGCTCTTTCATGCCATTTACCAACACGATTATTTATTCTCATACTACACGATCATTACTACTAGACATCTGAAGACATAATTCTTGTTATATTCAACTACTTGCAATATTATTTATTATTGAAAAGTTACATGTACCCTTCCATTAAAGTTCCCTGCCTTAATAACATGCCACTAATTTTTCGAACATCCTCTACACTACATTCCAAGAGTTGTGACAATTCTAATTCCGCATCCTCGTCTCCGACCGATCTGAAAAATTGAGAAGCCACAATTTTCTTCTCAAATATTTTGTCAATAATATTATTCCAAGCAATCAATGCATCATGATCAAATTGAATATAATTATTTTCACCATCCGCATCTTCCGATGAGCAGTATAAAAAGTTACATAGTTGAACGTGATCCCATTCATTTGGATAAATCGTTGATCGCTCCAATTTAATATTATCTTGAGTATATTCAGGTCGGATGGAAATGATATTGGTCACAGCATCGGATGTGGGAGCTGCTGATGTCCAAAAGGATGAAACGAGACCATACAAAGAGTTCATGAGGGTGACTTGACTGAAATGAATTTTTTCTTGTTGTGTGAAACACGTGTAATTCTGTTTTTAGTTTATTATTTGAAATGAAAAAGCAATTGCAGTGAAGAACAGGCTCAAGTCCTTTGCAAATGCCAAAACATATTTGCACAATCATTTTGATTTTCATACATGGATTTCAACATGTTAGTTGTAATTGCACATCTGTCGTTTAAATGCAATTCATTCATACTTCTAGAGTTAGCTTACTATGTCCAGACTTTATCATTCTTGCATCACTATGAATCTAAGCCTGTACTCTTAACTTTTGATCTTTAATTGCTTTGTTTGGGATGCAATTTCAAAACAGACACAATCAACGCAAATAAAAATTCAATACATAGAATACATTCTCATATTCTTCCATGAAAACCTTTGAAACTCATTCTTCTAAAGGTAATCTAAGGTTATCTGTTACTAGTCAAAGCAAGATGCCTGTTCATCTTAGTCTTCAACCGAATCGTCCTCTCCAATCCTCAACTCTCATTCTTTAAAATTACTCGTTCTATTTCATCTTAATACCGTTCACAATCCAATCCGAGTGCTCAGAAAACAACGGAACCCTCTCAATATGTCTTGTTTGAAGAAATTCCTTTACAAGAATGTATTTCATGGTTGGAAAAGGGATCTACTCCAGAAGAAATCTTTAAAGTTTCCTCGCTTCAACACCACCATTTTACTCCAAGTCAGTCCAAAACCATCGGAGTGGTTACCATCAATCGTCCCGAGAAGATGAATTCCCTCTGTCCAGAAACAGCTGTACAATTCAAAGCCTTATTTGAAAGTGAAAAGATTCAAGGGAATAGAAATTTAGCAGCGTTGGTTTTAATGGGAGCTCCACCTCCTCCACCCGTTCAAATGGAGGATGGATCTCTCAAACAAATTCATGCTGCCTTCTCAGCTGGAGGTGATTATGACTTTTTGTTGGAACGCACGGATGATACTCCTTTCAATAATGCGACACGAATGAGCAAATTTTATGACAGTTTTTTAACACCCATGTTGAGGGTGTGTCCCTCGCCCGTAATTGCTTGTATTAATGGACATGCTGTGGGTGCAGGGCTGGGATTGGCTTGTGCGGCCGATATTCGAGTGATGGAAGCATCTGCAAAATTGTCTTTTAACTTTGTGAAAATTGGTTTGTCGCCTGGAATGGGTTCGTCACTAATTTTGCCGTATCTGGTGGGTCATCAAGTGGCTTCATACATGTTACTGACTGGAGATTTAATTAGTGCTGAAAAGGCAAAAGAATATGGTATCGTGTTGGAAGTGTTACAAGGTGATCAGGCAGTGAAACGTCGTGCGTTTGAAATTGCTGTGCAAATTGCAAAGAGCTCACATATTGCATCGTATTTGTGCTTGCATTCATTGAGAGTGCAAAAATTGGCAGGCATTACGGCTTGCATGTACAGAGAATCGGATGCTCAAGTTCAATCGTTTGCAGACGAGGAGTTAAAGCAACATTTGTTGGAAATGAAAAATAAGGAAGAGGCAAGATTGAAATCAAAATTGACTCCAAAACCAATTAATAAATAAATAATATTATTAAATATGATTTGTGACAGCTGTAAGCCTTCACACGCATTGGTGTCGAATTTCAATATCAAAGAAGTAGTTCTTATCATTCTCCTCGTCCTGTTGTTGGTATTGAGTATTGAGAATTGTCAGTAAATTATTTTTCAAAACTCCTTCATCACCTATTAGTAAAGAGTCAGTACAATTATTGAACCATTATGTAATCAGTTTCAGTAAAAAACACTCAAAACTCAAACAAACTTACGAGTCAGAATATACACACAAAATGAAAATGCATCCACCACTGAAATATCATCGCACATGGCTGCATGTTGCATGAGAGGAATATGTTTGATCCAATGTTCTTTCGATGAATTGTTAGGAGGAAGTCCCTGAGCTCCATTCGAACTCGACACAAACACTTCATTATTCATGTTCACAGCAAAGAAACATTCCTTTCCAAAAACTCTCTTAATTGGTCCCATCTCTGGACTCAATGATATCAAACTCTCATTATTCGAAGGAATATTGTCAGCATTCCAATTTGTAAAAGTCGTTCCACCTCTTGTCACAAAGAATGAATTAGAACACGACACACACATGCTCTCGACTGGATTATCCACAAACGTTGAAAGCTTGGTCCAAGTATGAGCATCGACCAAATTCGAGTGAGCTCTCAATCCCGTCACATACACCATTCCGTGTTCATCTAAACAAACTGTGAAAAAAAATCCTGCTTGAACATCCTTAAACTTGCAAGAATTTGCTGTTTTCGGACGATCGAGTTTCATAAATTCGTAACAAATACCAGATTCTATGGTTCCTAATTGGTTTTGAAAGGAACATCCTGTTCCAATAAAGTTATCGTCATTCATGAGAATCATGGTGTGTTGATAGCCACATGTAATTTTTTTAATATTGGAACAGGTGTTTTCTCGATCGAGATCTTTAAAGCAACACTCTTTGAAATCTAAAACTCCACCTCGTCCAATTCCTCTTTGACCACATTCATTCTGGCAAGTGACATTTCAAAAGTTTTCATAAATGTCAAATTTCATTAAAATTTTTTACATTCATACCTACCTGTCCAGCAGATAATAAAGTTTTCCGATCGTGTGACAAGACCATCATGAAATACATTCCACACGCAACCTCAGAAAACAATTCCACTTTTTCCTTCTTATTATTCCACGCAACCACTCGATGCAATTCACTCATTTCACTCTCAGAGGTGTATGGTAATTTTCCACACGCAAATAATCTTCCATCGTGTGTCAATAACGCAGCAAAACCTTTACCAGAACTCACACTCTTGATTGTAAAAGATTCAGTTTCGTTCAATGTTTGGAATTTGTAAAAATTTGGTGCATTTCCAAATTCTTGATTCGATGAAGACGATGAAGACGATGATGATGATGAAGAAGAATTTGAATTTTTTCGAAGTTTTTTCGTGATCAATGAACGAGATCCACTTTTCGAATTTGATTGTTGTTGTTGATTATGAAGGATGGCAGAATGAAGTGATGAATGCCAATTCGGGTTTGAGAATTTTAATTCTTCAACGTTTTTAAAAGTTGAAATGTCCGAACCAAATGTTAAAAGAACATGTTGTTTACAACAAGTGGATGATAAATTTCTAGACAAGGATGATGAATCATGGGTGCATGACGGTAGACGGTTTTCATTGTTGAATGGATCATTGGATTTATCTAAAGTTGGATTCGAAAAATTGTGAATTTCAGTTGTGTTGAATTTTTCAAATCAAACGGACACACAGTTATTGAAATGAAACGAACAAATGCATTCGTGATCTCCTTACCTTTCGTACTTGCTCGTTGACCCATTTTTTTGTTTTGATTCGTGTGATGAGTTTTCGAAAGAAGGATAAAAAAGGAAACCAAGCAAGTTGCCAAAAAAATTTATGTGGCAAGTGCACTGGTTGATGAAACTTCATTACAAATACTAATACAATAATATTGAAAGAAACATCTAGCCACCTTGAAACTCTCTCCCAATTTTCCAGCTCTTTCGAAAACGCCTCAATTTTAGGAGTTTCAGGAGTTACTTTTTTCCGTTTCCTCGTCATCCTTGTCGTATCCATTCGAAAAAAAACAAACCACTCCACCAATGAAACAACAACAAATTCTTTCCTTGTTGCTTCTTTCTCTCTTGGCGTTGACTTGTTCACTCGCTGCTCAAGAACAACAACAAGTCTCAATTCATCATCCAACCGAATTCAAAATTCCACCAGGTTGGAGACGTTTCTTTGACCATTCCGTATCATCCATGCATCCACAATTATCTTCCTTTTTATGGGAAACTCAAAAAGCCAATGTCACTTTTTCATTGCATTCACAAAATACCGAATGGCTTCGTGAACAATTTGAAAGTGTCTCGGATCCATTCCATCCAAAATTTAGAAAGTTTTTGAGTATGGAACAAGTAGCTAGAATGACCTCTCCTCATGCTTCTCATAAGCAATTGGTCATGGAATTTATCAAGAAGAGTTTGCCAGGTGCTCGTGTCATGCATGTGTCTGCTCATGAAAATTTTGTAACGGTCGAAGCTCCTTTGAAGACTTTGAATGAAGCTTTTAAGGCTAGAATGGTTCCATTCGTACATGAAGAGACTGGTCGTATGGTGTATCGTTCAGAAATTGGTTATGCTCTTCCTGTGGAAATTTCGAGTGCTGTCCATGCGGTCTTTGGTTTGCATCATTTTCCAATTTATTCGGCAAAGATTAAGAGTGTTCGATCTGTGGAGACACCTAACGTGAGAAGTAGAGCCATGCAAAGTTATGACACCACTCCTCAGGCATTGTGGAAACGATATAATATTACCTTGCCAACAAGTACTTCACCAAAGAATCAACAAGCCGTGGCTTCCTTTTTAGGACAATATGTCGAATTAAGTGATTTGACTCAATTCCAACAAATGTTCAACTTACCACGTGTGAAACCAACCATTATCGGTCCTAACGATCAGAGCCAACCAGGTACTGAAGCTGCTCTCGATATTCAATACATTACCGCAGTAGGATACCTCGTCAACACGACCATCAATTCCAATGATCCAAACGATCAAAGCGATGACATTTTCCTTCGATGGATCAAGATTCAACAATCCATGGGTGATCGATCTGCTTGGGTCCACTCCGTCTCCTATGGAGGTGTCGAAAAATACGTTCCTAAAAACTTCCAAACCACTCTCGACATTGAATTCCAAAAATTTGGTGTGACAGGTCGTACCGTTCTCATTGCCAGTGGTGACGATGGTTCTCGATGCAATTCCAATGGTGACAAATTCGAAGCTGAGTGGCCAACTAGTTCTCCATACATTGTCTCTGTTGGTGCTACTCGTCCAAGTGATACCTATTTTGAACGAGCTGTGAGTTGGGGAGGTGGTGGTTTTGCTGAAAGTTATGCACGACCTTCGTATCAATCCGAAGCTGTTTCTCAATATTTAAGAGGTAATTCTGTTCCACCAACTTCTTATTTTAATGTGAATGGAAGAGCTTATCCAGATGTTGCTGCTTTGGGTGTTGATTATCAAATTGTGGTTGGAGGACAAGTTCAAGCTGTTGATGGAACTTCTGCTTCTACTCCAGTCTTTGCAGGAATTGTTTCCTTGTTGAATGACTTGAGATTGAAAGCTGGAAAACAACCATTAGGTTTCTTGAATCCATGGTTGTATCAAGTAGCTTCCAAGGAAAGAGGTGCTTTCTTTGATATCACTCAAGGAAATAATGGAGTGAGTCCATGTCCTGGATTTAGTGCCACTCAAGGTTATGATCCAATTAGTGGATTGGGTGTACCTAATTTTGAGGTTTTGAGAAGACTTGCTGTTCAATCTCCTTAAAATGTTTTGAAATTTATGACATGGTTTGTGTCATGTGAAAATATTTCAAAAATTCTTGAAAGGAAAGGATATTCAAAACAATAAATTACAATGTTGCTGAATATATTTGAATAGTTGATTGTTATTTGAAATGATTCAAGAAGTATTGATTCAAAAAATAGCAGTGATTCTATTAGAAATAAAATTGTAAAAATACAAAAATAAATTAATAATTCGTGTGAATAGAAATGTCACACAAATAGAAATGATGAGCATCCATCCTGAGTGTTCCTCCATTATTTCTACCTTCTTCATCATAGTGTCTCTTCATTTCCTCCCAAATGCTTGTCGTGAATGTTGCAATTCTTTCCAAGTGAATCACTGAACAATCTCTTGATCCATAAACTCCACAAATGTGGTAATATCGAAATTGAGGAGGTTTCGAAGAATAAGGAGATTGTTCTGGATGTTCAAATGTGCAAAACTTTTGATTCCTTCGTGTACTACTTGTTTGATACGATTTGTGAAAATACAAGGTATTGCTGGAATTTTCCACAAAAGCATCACCGTGAGGAATGGTTCCATAAAATTCTTCGGAATTTCTCATTTGATGACTTGTGTTATCTCCAATTCCAATAAGAGAATCCATTCGATGATTGGCAACCAGTGTGTGAAATCCTCCACAGGCCAAGAGTGATGATTTTCGACAGGTGGCACTCATGGTACAATTGCTGAGAGGTGAGGAAGAGGGAGCTTTGAATCGTACAGGATCGAACACTCGTTGTTTGATGGCCTTTGCAATTGTGGAACTTTCAGAGCTTAGATTTGGATCGGAAATTGGAAGGTAGCCACAAGCATACAGGTTGCCATTTTCAGTCATGATCCATGTCGATTGATATTCACATTTTAAATGAATTATTCCCTCCGATTGCACAATTCGGCTCCAAGAAGGACTTTCTTGAAAATTGTGAATTTTTGAATGGTTTTTCACAGCAAGTTGTCCTGCAAGGTTGTTTCCACAAACGATAACTTGAAGCGTGCTTTTGGAACGATGAGAAGATACATCTTTTCTTGTAATGAATACAGAATGATACAATCCACAAGATGCCTTCTCGATCGTGACACCTTCCATCATTGGAATTTGACACATCTTTTTCACATCCTTATTGTGACCTAATCCTAATTGAAAATACGCATTATAACCTTTACCAATCACTGTCTTTCTATCCTCAAAGATTGTAAACCAATGATCTCCTCCGCAGACTAATTCAGAAATTTTCAAATTCGAAAAATCTTGTGGAACTTCTTCAATCAGAAAATGATGTAACAATAATCCTCCAAATTCATCATGAGAATTTCGAATACTTGGTTGAAACACTTTTTTGCTATCCCAACCAAAAGTAAACATGTAATGTGAAATATTATTTTCCATATTGGGATTGGATCGAGAATTAATTTCCTTACTTCTCACAGAAGAGTTGTTGTTACCATTAACAGCTCCTCCGTGAAGTCCAACATTTCTTACAACATTTCTTCTCGATACAGTGCTCAATGAAAAGATTCCAAATTCAGGTCCACAAGCAATCAATGGACTCGAAATTAATGATTGTTCTAAATATGGATGATTGACTTGAGCGAATGGAAAGTAACAAGTCGGTGAGAAGCAGAGAGTATCCATACTATGATTGTGAAATGAATTGTCATGTTGTAATGATGAATAATGAAAAGTACTCGCATTTTGATGGTTGAATGATGGCAAGTGAGCAGAAGGAGTAATAAATTGTAAATTCGGTTTGGATGATGATTGGTTTTGTGCTTCATTCCGAGGTAGGCTTGTTCCAGCGATGAAAATTTCATTGTTGTCTTGTTCAAATAAAATTAAATAATATTACCTTCAATATTTGCAATAAATTTACAACAAGATACCAACCTGTCACAAATATTGCTTGATAAATTCCGAAAGCCATTTTCACAACTCGACTAGAAGGAGGAATACATTCCGATAGATGGACCAGCTGTACTTTGTTTTGTTCATTGTTCGTGGGAAGTAAATCGCTGTTCCATTTACCGTGGATGAGTAAGAGAGACATTTTTTAAGCATGCATCAAATTGATGACTGACAGCATCAATCATGAACAATGATGGCGTTCGAAAATTGTCACAACCTCTTATTATTCCAAGTATTCTATCATGTCATTTTCCATTCCTAAGCTACTTTTTCATTGCCGAACAAGTTCAAAGTTCGTCCTTTCGTGGATTTGGATTCGGAAATTAATTCTTGACTGTCATTATGTATAATCGTGATGATACACATACCATGATCAATGATCTTTCCTTTTGCATGGTAACAACTGATGATGTTAGTTTTAAATTTTTTGGCGCCCAAAACTGTAATTCCACCCGCCTCTTTCAAAGACCTTAGAAAAAAAATGAACTCTCGATCACCGCTGCTACAATCATCATCCCAACGAATAGCCTCAAAAAGCGGTCATTATCTTGGATCATCATCAACACTGACGAATCCGACGTTTTCATCAAGTGCAAGATATAATCAGACCATTGCGGAGAGGAATGATGCTTTGAAAAGAAACCCTAGTGCCGTATCGGGGAAGAAGAAGAAGGTCAAAAAGCCAACAAGACAACCATCGCCGTTGTTACGGAACATTCTCAACTCGGGTACAGTAAATAGCCACAGAAACACATACGGAACAACGCCTTCATCCTCAAACTTACCAAATCGAGCACAATCAGCTCCTTCCCAAACATTTTCATTATCTCAATCAAGACTCTCTAATCAACAACAATATGTAGAACAATTGAAAAAATTCGAATCATTATTCAACAAATATCAGCTCTTGTATAATCAGCAAAAAAGTAAGACCAACAGCATGGAAAAGAAGATTGCCTCGCTTCAAGAGAAAATGATGGAAATGGATTTACAAATGACAGCTCAATCAAAGAAGTGTGGATCTCTAAAAAATCGAATGGATTCTTTGGAAGGAAGCGTCAGTAACCAAAAGAAGACTTTGGAGGAACTTTTCACGCTGCACGAAACTAAGCTCAAGATCTTCGAGGATCGACTCGCAGAATTGAAAGATATTCAAGCAAGATACCGCAAAAAAACGGCTTACCTACAAAAGAAATTTAAGGAGTTTTCAAAACGAAAACCTGAAGATAATGATGAGCCAGGTGAAATACCTGCAAACAAGGATGACTCAAGGACCCATATCGATGAGTTGTTATATTTTGGCACCTTACACCTTACACTTAGTGTCAGTGCTGTTTTCATTTGACACTTGAGTGCCAAATGAATGAAGTGTGATTTGTATTTGACACTTGAGTGTAAGGTGCTATTTGTATTTGACACTTGAGTGTAAGGTGCGAAATGGATGTTGATTGAAATGGAGGTACTAGTTTGTGAACCTAACCATTCTACTTCGTGTTCATATAAAAAGGTCAATAACGAATCTATCAAACAAAAAAAAAGGCATGATTTAATCTCATGCATCTACTTTCCTTACGTATGTTAGCTTGGACCTTCGTATGAAAGGAGTTAGGAGGCACAAAAGATGATATGTTCCTTTCATTCACGATGATAGACTCAGCCGTTAAGAAGTATGACTACGAAACAAAAAGTGATTCCAGTTCCCTTAATTGTACCCTTCTGATTGCTTCAGCTTGACTTTTGCTGTTACCGTCATTCCCAAATCACTCAAATTCGATTACATCAGCCAACAACAGTGTTGAGCACCATTCTCTTGTTCTTCTCACCGTTTTTGTAACAATTGAACAAAAGTACATGTCACTATGAAGAAAAGCTGGCAAGTTTCACTCCCCTGTTGAACCAAATGAAAATGTTTTCCTGTACTGCAAGTGTTTTTCCTCAACATAAATCGTCTCTCAAGTTCATTCAGCAAGCTCTGACATCCTGTTCGACAACTTCATCTCAATCTCTTTCAACGCCGTGTTGTATGGCGCAACATCAACTCAGAAAACAGGTGCTGAACGGTGGAACATTATTTGAACCACTGCCTCACAACGCTTCACCTTAGAAAATGAGCGTGAGTCTATTCTTCCCTCCATAAACTAAATTTCGTAGATGATCATTTGGTATTGTCGTTGTCAGACGAATTGTCCAAAAATTGCGTTCGTGATACTCGATGATGATTGTGTAGTGAAGAGAATTTTGAGGCCCGTTGCTCACAACCGTGAAGACGGAGGTTTGTAATTTCAAAATAATATTTAAATAAATTAAAAAATATACAGGTGCTGATGACACTCGGCACTCAAGTGTCAGGTGCTGTTTGCATTTGGCACTCCAGTGTTAAGTGCTATTTGTATCTCCTTTTTGGGACTACGTGCCATTGCAAACGGCACTAAAGTGTAAGGTGTAAGGTGCTAAAAGGTATGTCCTCCATATCGATAAGCTTCTTGTGTCGTCATTGACGTCTGATTCAGATGACGATCGACCAGAGCTGGTAGTACTTCCAAAGAAAGCATCTGTTCTTTCACCTATGTGTATCAGTAGTACTAAGAAAGATTCAGTTGAATTCCTTTCCACAGAATCAGAAAATGAGATTGTAGCGTCTAATGAAACGCTCAAAGTAACAGAATCCAAAAAATCAAGTTCAAAATCGAAACGTAATGACGAAAAAACATCGGACTTGGAATCAGAATATCCTAGGTCAAGAAAAACTTCAAGCAAAGAGAAGGAGTCTGTAAGAGATAATGTTCCTGTGACTAGAAGTAGGGAAGAGGAGTTAAAACAAAGATATCATGACCTTAAAAAGGCGTATCGACGGGTGTACGGAGCTAGGGAAGATGATTAATTTACAATAGCTTGGTGACCACTTACAAATCATTGTCATGACCTTCAAGAAGTAAAATTCTAATATCTACTCTTCCCAGTAAAGAAATAATGGAAACGAATTATTGCTCTCCTTCAGAATCAGACTCTGTGTGAACACTTCTCTCATTATCTCTCTCGTCCTCCATACCTAAAAACTTGACCTCGTACAGGCCATTTTCTTGCATTGGAAAAGAAATATCCACAAACTTGTTCAACCAACTGAGCACAACGCTAGCATACATTTCACTATCAAGAGGTGGTGTTGTTTCCAAAATTATAGTGTCTCTCCAAGCCTGCAATTCTACTGTCTTTGAAATGTCGACATTGTCGTCATCAGAGAATGATCGTTGTTGGATTGAGGATGAAGCTGTTAACACGGTGGTACCATCAAATGCTAAATCAGTGCTTTCATATTCTTTCGTAGCACAATGCTTTCCAAATTCAATTTCTGCACTGCTAGAACAATGTGAAATGCTGATTTCAAGTGGAAAGCCGTTGCTTAAAAAGGCAGTGCAACTTGTTTTCTTTTTCAAGAAAGTACATAAATTGTCTTCACTATTCGTCTCTTCTTCCTGTAAATGATTGACCACTATTATCTTAAATAGATTTTCTTTCAATATGGTAAATGTTGTACTTGATGGCTCATTGTGATAGATTTGTCAAGATTTTGGAAAAGACTTTTGGATCACCCTTTCAAATCCGGTGTCAACAATAAACTTTTGAAATTTCAGTTGTTTTTTCATGGTTGATAATGTACGCTTTGAAGAAGTTTGTTTGTAGTTTCCAAGTAGTCTTTCATGTTCTTCAATAAAATTCCAATTCATACAAAACAACATTTCAAAAACATATTTGTGATTCAATCCACTATCCTTCAACATGTCCCTTAAACTAGTCTTTTGTTCTTCATCCAACTTCAAGTATGAATGTACATAGAGTTTTGGGAATTTGAGTCCCTTTTTGTAAAACAATTGATTCCACTGCTTTGAAACAAGCCATGGTCGAGATTTTGCAAATTCAGGAATGTCCAAATACAGTAATATATTCTTCAAAATATCATTGTAGAAAACACCTGCCAAGTGGTCAATTTTTCGTTTCTTTCCATCCATGAACGATGATTGTGTTGTGTCCATGCACGCATCATCTTCCTCCGATCCACTTGACAATACACGCTTCTTTTCAGCCCCACATGAATGTTCTTCCAACACGACCATCTGTTGATATTGGTCTTTAACATGCTCCGAACTTGCGTTCCATAACAACCGTAACTCCTTTTTCAATTGAGAGAGTGTTGTATTGGCATGATGGACCTTGGCTGTCGATAGGTTGTCTAATTCAATATATTTACAGTTCACCTATGAATGATATTCCATTGTAGTAATCATATACCTACCCATCACAAAGAACATGAAGGCTTCGTCTTCTGTATCCACTTTTTTCATTTTTTTTGGACAATTTATTGTGCCTCATTGTTCGTTTTGTGTGAGAGTAACGAACTTTCGTTCGAGGTTGCCAAAAGGTTGATCCAAAGATTTCAGCTTCTTTGTGTTCCTACTAAGGTGGTGAGAGTTTCAATTAAACTAATCAGGATTGCTCTCCACCCTGTTATTACAACAAATATTGTGACTAGAACCCAATGAAAAACAAACTGGTAATCTTATATATTTGTGAATTGACTAATCAAATTCGTGACCTATTAATGTAATTATTGATAACCCATCATTACTAACCACTGATATTTCAAAAAGCATTGAACAATCCTTGCTTTATTTTCGCTACCTGTTCATCGATGGACTTATCCAAACAGCAGTTGCTCAAAACAAGCAAGTAATCTGTTAATATTTGAAATATCCTTACAAAAACATTTGACATTCTGAAGTGTATCCTTACGACAACGAACGTCTAATGTAATGTATTGAGGCACCGAAGGGCCAATAAACAATATTTAAATTTTTTTTTAATCATTTGTTGTGCCTCAACGCTCATTGGTTTCATTGTGTGAGATTACATCATGTATGCACTAAAGCCATCGCATTTGTCTTTCACTTGTTTGCTGACATTTTCCACCTTGTTTTGAAATGTCACTAGACCGTTTTTAAAGTCAGTCTGGCTTCTAAATATTTTTTTGGGTTCTTGGAATGATTTCTCGAGTTGTGGAAACTTGGCCATTTTCTGTTCAACCAATGTGTAGGAATTCATACATTGGTTGAAGATGGTAAATGTCTCGTTACAGTTCAATTTCCATGACATTAATTTCATGAGCATTTTAATTCTTGCTTTTCCAACGTCATCGATTTGGGTCAACATGAGCTCTTCCTTTGTCTTGAGTAAATTTCTCAGTTCATCAAAAATAGCACTGATCCGTTGCTTATGTTCTGCACAAATGATCTCTGCTTCACCCATTTGCTGTTCGAGACTTTCATTGGAAATACCATTTTGAATTTCCCATTCTTCGATTTGCTTCCTCAAATTTTCAATTTCTTGTCTTTCTCCTAGTTCAGCTTCTTCCAATAGGAACACTTGATGACCATGATGAGTGGAACTAATGGCACATGCTGAACAAATAAATGCACTACAGGTTTTGCAAATGGTATTGATAGAGATGTTATGAATTGGACATTTCTGAACAGCGCTTTCACTGATATTATTTCAATAAAACAACAAAATTCAACAACGTTAATAACACAACTACTGAATTTTGACTTGATCACTTACACTCCATTTGAATTCACTCTGACAATTCTTATGGCTACCTCAATTTCTCCTTTTTTCGTATTTTGTAACGGCACTACTTTTTTCACTGCTTCGTTTAATGGAAATTGTACAGTGTCGACCACCAAAGTTGCAGATCCCATAAAGACATCTTTGGTGATCTTATTTTCATCCATCACTGTAAATTCAAGCACCAGTGATTTAGTTGTGAGCTTTTCAAGCACTTGGCCAGAAATTGGAATGATAAATTCATTTCCCCATTCGGGATTCAATGTCTTTTCAATGACAAAGGTCTTTCGGGTCTGATCAGTGTCTACATTCGTTTTGACAATACAATAGGGATCGGCTTTACTGGACAAGTTGATACCACGAATGACACGTAAAAGAACAAGATCACCATCAAAGAGAACCATGTTGATAGAGTTCGATAAAGAGACAATTTTTTTTGTTGTGTGTTTCCAACTACTTGCGATCCTTCAAATTTCCAAATAAATATTAGGGTACCAATCTTGCGAATGAAAGGGCGGGTCGAAATATGTTGGTCCAGTTGGATAATTAGAATTGTAAAGTTGTGTAATTTCATAAACTTTTAAGGCCTCAATTCCATTGATTAATCATCGCAAGCACTCAATGACAATATCTGTGTTGAACTGTCTTTTGAAATTAAAACTCTTTTGAATGGTTTGTTGTTCCACAATAAGAGACCGATAGAAGAATGTGGAATGCGATCCAGCTGCAATTGCATTCAGCAGAGGATTATCGAGAGAGGAAATTTTTGTAAATCGTGAAGCTGCGAGTATGGATTCTCCAAGTCCCAACTCTCCACTTGCACCATGTCCAATAGCATAATATGAATGATCTCGAGTGATTACGAATGCACAGCTTAAGCCACAAGCAATATCTTTGATTGGACTGTAAGTGGCAGGGCTAAAAGAGGAGGTATTAATTTTTGTAATGGGATTGTTGAGCCATGATGTTGTTCCATCGTCATAGTTATTGACAGGAGAGCCATAAAGGAAGATATTTCCAAGATTGGTTAATATGAACGAAAATAGATAACCAGAGCTAATTTTCACAACATCTTCGTGAGCCAGTAAATCAAGGTCCACAAATTTCTCATGACTCTCATCAATGGTCTTCAACAGTAATTTTCTATTCTTGCACCAAATGATCATTTTCCGTTCTGAAATAAAGGATAATGTCTTACATGAGGGACAGGAATCAAGTGTGAATTTGGGCCCAAGTCCTGTAACATAGAGCTTATTACTGGTGGTAATGATTGCTGACGACGTGTGACCACATACTATAGATTGAATTGGCTCTGTAATGTATTGGCTAGTGTCAATTAATGTGAGATCTTGGTAAATACAGTCAGGTAAGGGTAGTGAAAGGCAGTATCTCGAGTTAAGACCTTTTCCAAATAACCTTCCATCTGATAATAGTATCATGTAGTGATTTAAGCCACAGCTGATCTGTTGAATCGAAGATGCATCACTTGGCAGAGGTACATCTTCGAAAATTGAAAATGTCTGTTGATTTAAAATACCACATTCATATATCTTTGGAGTATTGCCAATATTATCTCCCCAAAAAACAGAAAAGTGAGAACCAGCCACGATTTGATTAATCCTTTCATTGAGTATGGATACCGAGAACGAAATAGGTGTCCAAAGGCAATGTGACTGGTCCTCTAAGGAAATATTTCCAAGCTGACAAGATGTGTCATCACCTGTAACAGCTAAAGTATGTCTACTAGGACCAAATTTACAATTTCTTAACATGATTTTGTTGTCTTCATTTGTTGGGTCTAACTCACATGCTTTTTGATAGTCCAAAATTGCTTCATCTACTCGCTCAAGAAATTTAAGAATTTGAGCTCGCTTCACATAAAACAAGGGATTATCAGGTTGTAATAATATTGCACGAGTAATGACTTCATATGCTTTTACGTCTTCTCCCAAGTCTCTGAAACTATCTGATATTGATGAAAGAGCATCTGCATCGTTATTGTTTCCACCAAACGTTTCCAATAAATTGAAAGACCTCTCTCGTAGTCCACTCTCTTGGTAATATAAATAACTGAGGTTCTGAAGGGATGGTAAATGATTTGGATCAATACGTAAACACTCTTCATATTCACGAATGGCTTCTGAAAGCCGAAACATTTTCTCGAATGTCAATGCTTTGTTGTAATGACTTCGAGCATACATGGGATTCAATATCGATGCTTTTGTGTACATTTCGATCGCTCCTTCATAATCTTTCTCTTCGTCGAGAAGCATTCCTCTCACATGATAAATGTGATAATATGAATCATCAATACTTTTGGCCTTCTCAATTAATATTTTGGACATTGAAATCTCACGCAAAATTAAATAGCAGGCGGCGAGACCGCTGATGGCCACCACATTTCTTGAATTCAAATCCAATGCTCTAGTAGTTGTGAAATTTGTTGATTTTCAATTAATAATCATCACTCGTGTTAATTTTTTCACTCGAAATATTGTTAAAACTACCTTTCATAGAGTTCCTTTGATTTTTGTGTACTTCCATCACGTACTAAACACAATGCAAAATCGGTCAACAGATCATCCTCTTTTACAATGGATGATTTGTGCTGATATTCAAACGCCTCCATTGCTTTTTCATAATATGAGATGGAAAGCGTGTGTTTGTTTTCTTCTCTCAAACACGTGGCCATATAATATAATATGGCGGCTTTATCCATCATCGGAATATGATCCACGACATTTCCATCCCCTGTATTTACATTACTTCTATTGTTAATATCTTGCAATAATTTTTCCAGAATTTCAAAGGCTCTCCTAAAGGATCGTTGAAACATGAGTTGATGAATATCATCGTCGAGCTGCATGTGGTCGTTTAACATTTTTTAATAATTTATCCACCAAGACAACAATAAAACTAGAAATAAAGAGTTTATTCTCCACACGTGTTAGTAGACACCACTTGATACACCAATCCCTTCAAACTCAATTAATTTCTCACCATCGTACTATGGTATTTGTTGGAGTCTTGAATAAACTCCCATTACGCACCACTCCCCATCAATGGCATCAAGCAAGGACTCATTGCTTGAAATTGTAGCTGAATTTCCTTATACCACCTTAAACAAGCTTGACAATTGACAAGGAATTCATAGCCAGATTATATTGTAGCTGATTTTCCTTGTTCTGAATCTGTTGGCTATGAATTCAGCTTCAATTTCTAGCAATGGATCCTTGCTTGATGCTGTTGATGGGAAGTGGTGCAATTTTTTCGGAAAGTGTTTTTCCTCACTTTTTCTACTGTCAACCGATTACTACTGTTGACTTGGCTTTACAATAAACCTAAATCCGTGTCGTCCTAACTATTAAAATCAAAAAAACATCACTGAGAGTATTTAGTTTCAACTCTCATTTCCTTGTCTGTGTCCTAAAATTACCAGTGCAGCTGGGTTGAAAGAATCTTACAAATCTGAAAAAAATGATGACAAAAGCCAATCTGTTTTTTTGCTTGCTAATTTTATTCTTGTTTGTGATGAAGGCTTTCTCACAATCCACTTCATCATCATCAGCTAATTCTTCCTCGGAATCCGTCTCCCATGAAACTATTCAAGTCGATTTAAATGGTGAGATGAAAGAACAGCACGTATCTGGACCATTCCAATTTTCTGAACACGATGATGCTTGGATGAGGAAAAGATTGGAAGATCGATTTCTGAAATATGTACAAATTGATACACAAAGTGATCCACTCAGTTCTACAGTTCCAAGTACTGAAAAGCAAAGAGTTTTGGCAAATGTATTGTTGGAAGAATTGAAATCAATGAAAGGACTCAAAAACATCGATATGGATAAGTATGGAAACGTCTATGCTACATTGCCAAAGAATTTGAAAAGAGATGTCCTGAGTGTTGGATTTTTAGCTCATATGGACACAGCTACTGAAATTAGTGGATTCAATGTCACTCCTCGTGTGCATAGAAATTATAAAGATGGTGAAAATCTCATGGTGGACAATTTAAAGATTGTGGATTATAAAATTGATGGAAAGGAACTTTCGAAAATGGTTGGTCACGATATTGTCACAGCAAGTGGTGGCACATTGTTAGGTGCTGATGATAAAGCAGGTGTTTCTGAAATTATGACTGCCATTGAGTTTTTAACGGAACATCCTTCGATTGAGCACGGAGACATTCAAATCGGTTTCACCATCGATGAAGAAATTGGAAAGGGACCTCATTATTTTGACATTCCAAAATTTTCAGCTGCAGTTGCCTTCACCGTCGATGGAGGAGAGAAAGGCACTTATAACGTTGAATCATTTAGTGCTGATTTAGTAACTATTGTGTTTACAGGATTCAATATTCATCCTGGAACTTCATTTGGTAGAATGATCAACTCAATGAAAGTAGCTGCTAAATTTTTAGACCGAGTCAACCAAAATATGCCCTCTCCTGATATCAGCAAGGATAGAGACGGCTTTGTACATTGTCTAGACATGAACGGAAATGTTGAAAAAACCACCATTAGGTGTATTTTGAGATCATTTGAAGACTCTGAATTGAAACAATATGCTGAAGGTATTTCCAAAGTTATTGACCAACTCAGAAGCGAACATTCCAACGTGACCATTGAAATGAACGTCGTTCAACAATATAGAAATATGAAACAAGTCCTCGACAAGTATCCATTCATGGAATTGAGTATCATTGACGTTTACTCTGCTTTAAACATGAAAGACATTGTTTCAGTACCAGTACGGGGAGGTACAGACGGCTCTCAGTTGAGTTGGATGGGTCTTCCAACAGGTAAGTCATTATTGAATTAATTGTTTCACGATCATTACCTTGGTATGTTGTCAATTAGCCAATATCTTTGCTGGAGGTCACAATTTCCACAGTCAATCTGAGTTTGTTTCACTCCACGACATGGCCGATTCTGTCAAAGTCATTATTTCACTCGCACAAACTCTTTCCAATGTTCCACCTCTTCCCATTAAGGGTCACTAAAACCATAACATCTTTGTTTGTTGAATGGACACTCTGACAGTTCAACAACGGAACATTTTTTTGTTTTCGAAACATTTCCCGAATTGAACCTCACGAGTTCGCAACAACAAAAAAAATTGCCTTAAAGCCTTAAAAGAAATTTCTTTTCTTCTTGAAGGCTTTCAGTGGTTGGTTGTTTCATCACCGAATTTTGAATATCTAGCCATTCTTTCCAATAGAATCCGATCATTCTAAATACATTCAGGCTTTTAACACTCTTCCATACAACCCATCATTATGCCTCAAAGACCTTCCCAAAATACAACGCTCTCAAGAGTGGTGAGTTATGATGGATCGCAAATATATTCTCAAGAAGAAAGTGAAGCAATGGAAACCAGCTCAACCTTTTCCACTCAAACACTGGCCTCAGGTTTTGTTCCTTTGGATATCGAGGCCGAACATCCCGAAATAACCATGTCCAATTTCTTGAAAGCTAAAGATATTGATCAAATGCATCGTCTTAGAAGGTAAGTATGTTCATAACCACCACATGTTGTAATTCATTCAAAATAATATGATACAACTCCGATACTACATTGTTTTGAAATTCAATTCATCATCGGATAGACTCCTCTCAAAGGATTCATTGCGTGATTCCAAATGCCAACAACTGTTACAAGAAGCAATTGATCGAGGTTTTGTTGCAGCAGAGATCAGAGGGTTGAAATCAATGCCCGAACCTGAAGACGATGAGTTCTATCCTATTCAAGCCTTATGTAACGTATTATTGAACCCGTTTGTGATTGATGACGAACACCTTCGGTCTCGTGTAATGAAAAAGGCACTCGCTTTAGAACCTTCACCTCATGTGGATACTCCAAATTATGCACTTCGTTTGTGTGCTTGTATTGGTGCTCAAACCAAGTTCATAGATCCAAAGCTAAAGTTTCTTATTAGAAACGTGATTGAATGCGAAAAAAGTGACTCATTATTGAGTAACAGAGCAAGTGTTTCGTATGCTGCAGTGTACTTGAAAAAGGATGAGGACTTGGAAGACGTCTGCTCACTCCTTTTCCATCCACAATATTTGGTAAGACAAAATATTAAGGCTTGGATTTTTAAGCAATTGTATGAGGACATTAAGAAATCAGATGAGGAGTGGTCACAAGTAGTAACCACCCTCAGTAAATATATCGACAATGCCAAAAGCGTAAAACTAACAAGCGTAAAGGAAGATTTTTTGAAGGATTTAGCACAATATCGACAAGAAAAGTTGACCATAGGTTATTCGAAAAAGAATCAATACCAAATGCTAAATTTACCTAACATTATGGATTTGCCAAAGATGGAAGCTTGGAAACAGGCAGTGAAGAACCAATTTGAAAAATTAACTAGTGACAAGTTAGTTCCAGTTAGCGTCATTGTATCTCAATTCCATGCACCAAAAGATGTAGTTGAACTTTATGATCTGGACGGAGATGGAAAATTGTCTGAGACAGAACTCGTTCAGCTGTCTTATTTGATGTCTTCAACTCACAAATAATGATTATAATTTGGCTGCAAATAAATAATAAATATTTTAATGAAACACTTCACCTTTTGTTTCTTCTTCCTTTGCTTTGGTTGTCTTCATCAATGTCATCATACTGTGCACGCAATTCTGCCTTTGGCTTTTTCTTTTTATCTTGTTGTGATACCATTTTACTTGGTCGTTCGTCGTCAAATGGTGTTTCTAATACTTCCAAGCCATCGTATACTTCGTTTAAAAACTCTTCCAACTCTTCGTTGGGTTCGTCTAAAGTATTGAGCTTATGCTTTTGAACTTCTGCCAAAATGTCAAGCTCCACAGGTCCTGCATGAGCCAAGAACAAGGGTTCCTCTTTCTTTTTCTTCTTCAACCCTTTGGCTATATTTCCACAAAACACATCTGTTGCTTTGAATGTAAGGTGGCTGCTTGCGTCTTCATTTTCATCTTTCTTAGATTGTAAAATGGTTGTTGGAATGTTTTGTTTTTCCGAAGAAGCAGTCATTGGTCTGTTCAGCATCATAGAAGAAGCAGTCATTGGTCGTGATTGAGAAAGTGACATGGCCGTGATAGGGCGGCCCTGAGAGGTGGTTGGTCTCATTCCCATTCTGCTTCTCGTCATGCTCCTTGCTAGAGATGAAGATGTAGAAGGACGGCGAAAGAAAGAAGCTGATTGTGGACGTCCTCCGTCTAGCCTTGGTGTAGTTGCAGTAATATTTCGTATCATGTTATTATCAGCAGGATTGTAAAGTCTAGTGCTTATTGTCAAAATTAATGGATTCTCACTAAGGCCTTCATCTAGAGATTCGACTTTGGTGAGTTTGATGGATTTTTTGAGCATTTCAAATTCATTTTCCAAATCTTCTAACGAAGGTATGGCCTCTTCTTTTTTGATTGGACTAACTCCACGCCCTACAGAGTCATCAGATGATGCCAAAGATAGATCGTCAAGGTATTCAAGTGTGGGTAGAGTCTCTCGCACAGAAGATCTATACTTCCCACTTAGTTTTACCAACATTGGATTTCCTGAGAGCGTTAAACTTGTAAGTCGTCGACAATCTTGAAGATAAACAAGTTGTGACTCATCGTCAATGTTATTTCCTTCTAAATCTAAAATCTCTAATTCTTCCATTCCTGCAAGATCAGAAATGTCATCAATGTCGTTGTAAGACAAATAAAGTTCTCGAAGTTTTGAAAATGTAGAAATGCCGTCTAATTCTTTGATCCCACACCTAGACAGCCATAAAATTCTAATGTTCTTGAGGCTGGTTCCTAAATCTCTAATTGATGGAATTGTACTTCCATTTAGTTTTAATTCCTCCAAATTGCAAAGCTTGCCACCAATATCTCCCAACGAATTATTAGTTGTATTTACAATAATTTCAAGATGTTTAACATTGTGAAGATTGTTCTCGCCAGTAGCTGCTCGCAATTTTGCTTCGGACAGGTACTCTTCAAGAGCCATCAAGTTGGGATCCAAAGCCAGTTCATCAAAACTTGTCGGAAATTCAAAGCAACTATTTTCGTTTAAATTGAGTCCCAACGGAAGGGACATACTTGGTGTTGGTTTTAAGTCCTCCTCGTCAGTTCCTCTGTACTCGACACGTGCTTGTTCCTGAGCTCTAATAAATTCGTCATCATCTTCCGAAGATGAAAATGAAGATGAATTACGTTCATCATCCTCCAATGATGAATTGGATTCTTGGCTGCTGGTTCTTGATTTGCCGCTCACTAACTTGCCATCATTGTAGAACGCTATTTTTTTGCTTTTCTTTGGTGTTGAAGAGATGTTGTTGGCTTCAAAGTTTGACGATTTCCTCATTATTTGAAAGTTACTCGATTGTTGTTCGTTTGGGTTCAAAGATCCAACAAGTGGTTTCAAAGAATTCCTTTTTTTCTGTTCATGCTCTTCAAAATCATAATTGCTAGGTATGGATCTTGGAAGAAATTTGTTTCTTGTAAACGACGACGATGAGGAGGAAGCACCCAAAGAGAAGCCATTCTCAAACGTAGCTTCATCTTTCCGTTGTTGTATCTTCCCCAAAGAAACCTTCATTTCAACTCCGAAGCTCAATACTGAACCAACTGATGTTCTTCCACCACTCACAAGACGAATGATGTATTTCTGTAATTTCAATAATCACTCTTGATAATGAAAGGCTTGATGTCCCACCACGACTTGTTGATAATTCGCCACGCAGCCAGACTTTATAATTTTTTGATGATTTGTTTTTTCAGTAAATTTTTGGCGCCCATCACTGCTCGTCCTTATTGGAGATATATTTGCAATAAAAAAATTCAAACGTTCTTTTTGAACCATGATAATCTTCTTGTTTTATAAATTGGAAGCCTGATCGGTTTCATTACTCGTACTTCTTACTGGCTTACAACACATCATGAGCAAACTCGCTTTTTCAAAAAGCCATGTTCCATACGTCATTCGGAAGGCATCCGGAGTAAAGGTAATATAGGATGAAACGGAAATCACCACACAAAGACAAGTATCTAGAAAGATATTTCGAGTAATGCCATAAAACACAGACAGGACGTCTGCACCAAAGACATAGGTCAGTAATGTGAAAAAGCAAACAAACCATCCAAACACAAAAATTCCAGTAGTCATTAGAATGAATTTTGTGAATCGATATTCGAACACACCTCGGTCTGATTGTTTTCGTAATGTTACTAGAATTTTCATTCCGTAAAAGGTAAAACCAACAACAAAGGTCACAAGGAAAACTAGTACTGCAATGGTCAAAACAATCCAAGCGTAGCCATATTGGGAAATAGTTGCAAACACAATGCCTGCAATAATGATTGTGATAATCACAGAGCAATAGAATACAGTGAGAATCACCTTATTAAATATTGACAGTTTTCCGTCAATATTCTTGGAAGCTCTATTGTACAAATCAATAGCATGACTCCATTGAATAACAAGAGCACTGTATCCACAAACCATGAAAACAGTTGTCAATGCTCTTCCAATTCCAGTAAAATAGGAGGTTAAAAAGCCAAAGGCTGATGAAAAATTGAAAATAAATTTGAATAAATTCTCTAAAAATCCAGTAATGGTTGCAATCCAGAAAAATGCTGGTGGTTGAACCAAAATGTCAAAAAAGTGTGTAAAGAATATCAAAATCTTTTTTCCATAGGCTGCCAAAGGAAGATCTGATCTCTTTTTGAACGATTTCACTCGTTCCACAAATCTTGGAATGAGAATGAAAAAGGAAAGTGCTACAAACAGGATTGCATAAATAACTGCAAAAAATACGACGGAGAATCGATAGACAAATGGTATTTGGTAGCTCTGATAAAAGTCATAGCATTGAAAAGCATAAAATCCAACTTGTTCTCCCTGTGGCGAGTATTCACACCAACATGTGAAAGGAGCATTTAAGGGAATGTGCCATTGTGTCACATTCTGTTTCAAATATCCAGAAAAATAAAATTCAAATAAATCGGTCAAGTTTACAGTGGTCAACACCGTGTCGAAGGTCGTAGATGCATTCTTCTTTTTTCTATAATTATAAAATGAACTTTTAAAGTTTTCCGAACTGAAAAACATGGAGTTAAATAGTCCCAAATTTCTTCTCTCGCTCGCCGAAGAGGAAATATCTGGATTACAATGAGCATCCATCAAATAACTCAATAATTCTGAATTATTTTTCGAACTATGAAATTCTTGTGACACTTCCAAGTTATTCACAAAATCCATACTGTCACATTCTCCATCCCTGAGAGCTTGTCTGAAAATCTGCGATTCTGTTTCATTGCAATACAGGCAATAATTCAAAATAAATGATAAACTCTCTCGTTGAGTGGAATTTGTAAAATCAAACTTTGTATCGCCGGGACACAAATAATCCACGCACGAAAATTCGAATGGAGTGAACAATGGTTTCACACCTCCTGCTAGTTGCATTTGAGAAGGATCTTTCTTTAACATACACAAATCATAGTAATCGGTATCCACAGCATACATCGTTGGATAATAGTATTGGTTGACAGGTGGCAGATCCAACACTTCTAGTTTTGGAAAGGGAATACGGTTGAGAACCATTTGATTGGGAGGAGGAGAAGGAGGAGAGTACCCATTCACTACAACCGATAGGTGTTGATGATTATGGGATAACAGAACTAGTAGTAGAAGAAGAGTTGCTAGCAAAGAATTTTTGCCTTTCGGATTCTTTCTTGTGGAGAGAATCATGACGAGAGGAAGAGAGAAGGGGTGGTGGATGACATGTGGATGCGATGATGATGATGACGGTAGTATGGTTGAGTTGGAACTCTTGTGGCTGTTGGTTGAGTGCACGACTTGCATCTCGTGAACTAATGATGACAAGTGGCAGGTGAAGCGAGTTTTTTTTTGCGATTTCTCAGCGCAAAAGGACATTGGAATTTAACAGAAAATGTTTCCTGAATTGCGACATGACACTTGAACGACTGAACTCGATGGACACTCTATTTGAAAGCTGCTCCAACTTGTATTTATGGACATTAATTTACCACCACCTCAGGAAGGACATCTTCTATTGATTGCACACCTACTCGAGTATTGAGTACAATGGCAATTGGTAAATTCATCGAACGGGATTGGCATTTATGAACACGAACACTCGAACGGATTTGAAAACGACGAAATTGTGATGTTTCAAGAAGAAAAAATCTACAGCACCACCTCTTCGGGGTTGTGGAAGAAACAAGAACACTGGAGACTGATTCATTCAACAACGGTTTTATGATTTCATCGGATTCATTGATCATCGTGAATCGTTATACCGATAATCAAAAAGAAGAATAACAACAATATTATTAACACCAATATTTCAAATTGCTCATTATTTGGAATAACGGAAAATGAATATTGAACAACAGTCCATGCTGGATGGGAGGAGTAAAAACAATCTTCTCATCAATGATCCTCATAACAACAAATCTACTACTAAACAATGGATGATAAACAACAATATAGTAGCCTTGAGTCGGCTGCAGGCTTGCTGCAACCATCATCATCATCACGATCCACCATTATTCAAAAAGAATGAAAATATGAAAATGGCATTACTCCGAAAGGAAAGTCTCCATCCATCTTTGCAACCTCAACACTCTAGGACAATTTCAAAGCAACCTCTCCGGCGCAACAAGCTTTTCTTTAATTTATCTTCATCAAGAATCCCTTCCCTTACTTCTCATGACTCAAAGAATATTTCATTTCAAATGATTGCCATCATCATCGTATACATCCTACTCATGATCCTAACTCCCAAAGTTTATGGTTTATCTCATCAGTCATTGACTCTTCACAATAAGGACATGGTTGTTTCATCACCTTCTCCAAATACTTCTGATATTTTGTACTATCAAATTTCTGATCCGTGGGTACTGTCGCCGTCCAGTCTAAATGCAACTTCACTTTCACAAGTATTCTACTCGAAAATGTATATACCCATGTATGCGTTTTCACTGGTTGCAGTAGTGGGTCAGTATTCAGTGAGTATTTATCCACCGGACTCTCCCATGATGGATCTCTGTGGAACTAATAGTCCTGCTCAAAAGTATAAATCATTGGAGGACATGTCCTTCTATGTGCCTGAAGTTGGAGAGAATGTTCGATCATCAAGTGAGAATTTGTGTCTTGAATTCTTTTGTAGCTCAACATTGAAATACCATGAAGTTGAAAATAGGAAATTGAACTTAACACGTTGGTCACAAGTGGACGAGTTTACATGGTTTTATAACTATTGTCTGTATTGTGACAATGTTGTGAGTCGGGAATTTAAGGATTTTTTCATTAACAACAGCACACAGAGTTTTGCACAAAACTCAGATCAATCAGCTTGTCCTCTCTTCAATCCAACAATTATCCAAAAAGCTGAACAACACTGTCAGATCCAAAATCTTCAAAACAAACCTCAACCTTACAGCATTGGAACTTTTTTCCTTTCCTCTGATTTAATGGACTCTCCTGAATTTAGAAGTGTCTTGTCATTTTATGATTTTATGCAATTTGTGGAACATTCCAGTTTTCCATACAATTGTTTTTGCAAAGAACAGAGCTTGAGTTTAGTTCCTGGAATTAGACCATTCTCATTTGCTTTTGCGTGTGACATTTATTCACGAGCCATTATATCACTCGTGTTTGAATTTGGCCCAATATTTATTTTTATATTTACAGTTTTTCTTTTATTTAGCTCATTCTTTGTACTGCTGTTACCAATTTATTGTGCTGTTTATAGAGAATATCGAAGCGCATATGAAAAGAAACTTTTATCGACAATATTTGATTTGAGAATTCAAAGCACAACAATATTATTCTTTGCAATATTGTGGATGTGTGTACAGGAAATTTTCGCATACCTCTTTAATTTCAATGCATTCTCTTCCATGTATTACAATGAGGATTCACACAATGGATTTATGTTACTACTTGGAAATGGACTTTTGAGAATGATTTCCTTAGTTTTTCTTTGTTGCTCCTTTGCAAGTATGCTTGTCAGTTGGCAACACATGACTTCAAACACGGAAGGTAATTTTCTCTCTGGAGTTGCAGGAGGAATTGCTGCAACAGGAAAAGCACTTATTGGTGCCTCAAAAGATGAACGAGGTCATGCTGGGCTGATAGATGACAATGAAGACTATACTCCTCAAACTAAGAGAGAAAGTGAGAGATCCTCATTGCTTTATGTTGGAGGACGAGATCCTACTGATTCTCTTTCAACTGGAAACAAATTGATTCTAGCTGGATTTTACCTTTCACTCTTAGCATTGCTCATTGCAGTAGTGATCATGTCATTTTTCATACACACTCTCTATATTATATTTTTAGTGTTTATTGCGTTTGGAATGATGTATTTGTGGATTTTCCCAATAGGATTTTTATTCAGTGGTATACGAATGTATTACAAACTTAAATCTATGAAAGAGAATTTATCATTTGCTCGATTGAAGGTATGTACTAGTTGGTGTGTGTGTGTGAATAATTGAATGAGGCATACTGACTAACATTGTTGAATGAATACATGACAATAGTTTACAAGATTTATGATTTTCGCTGATATTTGTTTCATTCTTCTCATCATTGTTGGAGCTCTCTTTATGTTGACTTATTTATTTGGATGGGATCTATTTGGAGTTTTTATTGGAATTAATCGTTCACTCATCATGGATTTCACAATTGTGTTAATGATGACTATTGAACAATACATGCTCTTCAACCAAAAATCTATTAAGGATTTATATGGTGAAAAAATACTTATTTGCTGTTGTATGTACAAGCGAAAAAAGAGAGAAATACCAGTATTTGAGGTTGAGGACGACCATGGTCAACAAGTTGAAGACATTGACGACGAAGACGTTAAAAACAAATCAAGCCTTAATATCATTTATTCACCAAGAGGAAGAAGGCCAGCATCAATTACGACCAATGGCACAGAAGAGAAGATTGAATCAGAAATGACACCAGAAGGTCATGACGATGAGAAAGCTTTACATTTGAATGGATTTTCTTTTAGTGTGGATTCGCTTCCAAAGCTCCAATAAAACTACACATCTCTACAATTCTTTGTGTATGAACGTTATCAAACACTATTTGTTACACAACCAAGAACAACCCAACAGAACTCAGTTGTTCAATGAACAACTGGACAAAATTCTTTCACGGTATCCTGGACAGGTGTACAATTAATACATTACGAGTCAGTGTCTGATTCAATGGTAACAACTTCGTTTACATTCATAGGTAGTTTGGAATCCTTGAATGAAACCAATTTTTCTTCACAACCCTTACTTTTCTTGGACGAAGGTTCATATTCATATGCGACTTGATTCTTTGACAGACTGAGTCTTTTGGTGGTTTGGTGTGGGATGTTGTATTTACCTTCCAATAAAGATCCCATATTCTGTTGTTGGTATTTGGTTTCCCGTCTAACATGGTTTCTTCCCTCTTCAACTTTGAGTTGATTTTGGTGCATGAATAATTCATTGCCATTCCTTCTACTAATGTTGGAGTCCTTGAAATCATTCATTTCTTGTTCTTTTTCGTGCAAGGATCGTTTGTTGGCTTCCAATTCCATTTTCAATTTGGAGATTTGAGTTCGCAGAGAGTTATTCTTGGTTTGAAGCTCATTGTTCTTGGTTTTCAGCATGGTATTTTCCTCCAACAGTTCCAACATCTCTTTATGGTTGGAATCAGCTTCTTCTCTTAGTTTCATGTTGTCCATATTCAACTTTTCAATGATTGTTTTTAGACGAGAACATGATTGTGTGGCGTGTTGCAAACGTTTGTTCATGTCCATCACTATATTCTTCAAGTTTTCTGTTGTTTCTTCTTCTTCATTGACAGACTCGATGGAATGGTTCTGTACTGTTGTCGAGGTACCTCTAGGTTGATCATTGCTTGATTCTGCAGAGGTGTGTGAGGAGGTTAATTGTTGATGTGAGAGGTTCTGAGGTCGTTGTGTGTCATGAAGAAGACGTAGTATATGAGTTCTTCTTCTTTCGCGTTGCACTTGAGTTCCTTCAGATGCAGAACTGGATGTTGTCACAAGTTCCTTGTTGTTGTTGAGGTCACTGGTTGTGAGTGTTGCAGTTTTGGACGGTACATTCTGTTTTCCAGTATTCTCAACAGTTGACGCCTGTAGTTGTTTCTTTGGTGTCAAGCTTAATTCAACATGGTTGTTCTCATGTTGTGTCATCTGATCTACTACTGCAGAGTGTGCACTTGGAGCATTCGAACCATGATGATGATTATTAACACCAAAATTAAAAGTATTTTCATCGACTTGTTCTTCTTCAGTTTCTGCTCCATCACCAAAATCTTCATTGACCATTTCTTTGAGTCGATCTTCACCCAAATACAATATTCCTTCTGATTGATAATAGTCAAACTTAAAATCTCCGTTTACAACAATACCTTCATCCATTCTTTTGTATATAGTAATTGCTATCCCTGTTTTTCCTGTGGGTTTGCGTTTGATATGGTTTGTATCTAGTTTTAATTCAACCAAATTGTCACCATGTTTGACATTTCCAACTGTCACAATTGAAAAATCACTTGTCTTTTTCTTGGGTTCATGAAAATAAGGCCGCGCGACTAATTTTGAAGACTTTTCAATTAATTTTTTAAAGATTAAATATTCGTAAGTATTCGTGTCAGGTTTTCTATTTAAAGATCCAATTGGGGTGTGTGAGTATTTGCAATCCGTTTGACATTGCCACAACGACATTCGCTTTTTCTTCTCCACTCCGACAAGAAAGGCCATGTACATCCATTCATCATGATTCTCCATTTTACAACGATCACAGGTAAATGTAAATTTCAGAGAATCGGGTCCAGGTTCAATTTTCTCCACTTGTCCTGTTTCCATATTCATTTTGTTGAACATGGTGAAAGATGTGTTGGTTCCTCTCTCCAATTTCTGCAGAGCCAATAATTGACCGTTCATCATGCATTCTTCATCATCATCATGGTTGATGAGATTTGATTTTTTAAATCGCATGGGGTAAAATGTGAACGACGGCAAAAGCAAGGGGTCAAGATATTCGGGTTTCTTGCTCGGCATTTTTTTAGTGGTGGTTTTATCTATCCTGGACAGGTGAACAATTAATACATTATAATATATATCTGATTCAATGGTAACATCTTCGTTTAAATTCAAAGGTAGTTTAGAAACCTTGAATGAAACCAATTTTTCTTCACAACCCTTACTTTTCTTGGATTAAGGCATATGTGACTTGATTCTTTAACACATTGAGTCTTTTGGTGGTTTGGTGTGGGGTGTTGTGTTTACCTTCCAAGTACTTGAGGACTGTTACGATTGATATTATTGGAATGCAAAGAATACACCGGGAAACTGGATGAGTTCCTCTTCACTTGAGTTGATTTTGGTGCATGGGAGTCGTTGCCATTCCTTCTACTAGTGTTGGAGTCTCCTTTGAAATCGTCACTTCTTTTTGGTACAAGCACCGTTTGGGGCTTCCAATTGAATCATTTTCACTTTGGAGAGTTGGGTTCGCAGAGAGTTATTCTTGGTTTGAAGCTCATTGTTCTTGGTTTTCAGCATGGTATTTTCCTCCAACAGTTCCAACATCTCTTTATGGTTGGAATCAGCTTCCTCTCTTAGTTTCATGTTGTCCATATTCAACGTTTCAATGATTGTCTTTAGACGAGAACATGATTGTGTGGCGTGTTGCAAACGTTTGGTCGTGTCCATCACTATATTCTTCAAGTTTTCTGTTGTTTCTTCTTCTCCACCGTTGTCCGAGTTGATGGCATGATTCAGTGGTCGTTGTGTGACACGAAGAACACGTAGTATATGAGCTCTTCTTCTTTCGCGTACCAGTTGGGTTCCTTCAGATTCACTGATGGTTGCTGTTACACGTTCCTTGTTGTTGAGGTCACTGGTTGTGAGTGTTGCTGTTTGGACGGTACATTTCCGGACGCTTAATTGCCACTCTCATTGCACTCTTTGTCGCACCTTTCAAAGTTTTATATTGCGCTAAAAGGTTCTTGTCTGAGGTTGGTAGAGGATTGAATTTTGCTTCCATATACTTGTTGATCTCAATCTCATTAATTACTTCTCTCATCTTTTCTTTCAATTCCGTATCTTCTACATGAGATTGAGGATGGCCATGATTGTTGTTTCTCTCCATCCTCTCCAATCTCTGTGTCATGTTCGCCATATAAGCATACATTTCATTTATCTGTACTCTGAGCCTTTTATTTATTTCTTTAGGCTCTTCATCATCATCTTCATCATGTTCTTTTCTTGGGATTTTCTTCCTCTACAGTAGGCTGTTCAGAACCTTGGGGAGTATTATGTTGTGGTACATAATTTGATATTGCTGTTTCGGGCTCTTTGGCTGCTGTTGTATCTGAAGTCTGTTCCGATAGGGTAGCAAAGGATGCAGTGCCTATCTTTCCAAGAATGTTTTCAACGGGCATCTCCTTCTCTTGTCCATTCTCAACCCTAATTCTTCATAAATCTCATATGTAAAGCTCGAGGTGATAGTTTAGTTTGGCCACTCGCCTTGATGGGAATCTCTTGAAAATATTCTCCAAAGCGGAACAGACGCCTCTGGGCCAATGATGATAATTTTTTAAAGCTGATTCCAATTCGATTCTTTCGTTAGAGTTTACGTTTTAACAGACCTAAGTCTAAGGTCTTACTATCTGTTGAGCTCGAAAATATTGCAGTCAATTACACATGACAGGAATAACAGTCGCTCTGGTTGTTTGAAAAGGAATGAAATGTTGAAATTTACAATAAATCAACCACAACAGTATTTTACAGCAAAATGGCTACTTCAATAATTTTATTAGGGAACATTAAATTCTCAGATCCCTTCTCTCTAGAAATTTGAAATAGCGCCCATCCGTGTCTCGTTGTTTGATTATTTACATCGCCTTGTTGCAAAATTTGTGAGTCTGGTTGACTGCTCATTGTGAAAATTCCGTTCTGCATATTAAACTTCAATCGATAAGCAAGTGTGAACTTGTGAGGTGTTAAGGAGGTATATAATTCAATAGTTTGCATTAAATTCACATCTCGATTCATCATGTTGACAAAATGAATTTGACCCGAAGGTGATAATTCCTTAATTTGTAATTTGTGATTTGATTTTTCAAGTAAATTCGAAATGGAATGCACAAACGTCCCACCATTCACAACTTGTGACCATTTTGAAATGTGTTTCGTTGGGAATAATACTTTGGTTTTGCTTACATGTGAAGCTGGAGTATGAGGTTGTGGATGTTGAATATTGTAGTTGACAGCTGACATCAACCCGTCCGATCCATCAGCATTCTGAAGACTGGTGACTAATCCGGACGACAAGGATGATGAAATTCTTCTCGTCTGGAGACTATCTTGAATATGTCCTCTTGAATGTGGAGCATTTCTTAAAGTTGATGTCAACACTGAACTATTTGCTCTACTTTTCAACACAATTCCCTTTCGATTTGGTTTATGATTAAGTTTGCTTCGCATCAACGCAGCAGAAGAACATGTTGAACAAGTCGAAGAAAAATTGTCATTAAAGTTCCCAATTCTAGAACTCTCCGTCCATCCTTCCGACATTAATAATTGAATATTATTTTCTGCAGAAGAATAGGGATTATTGAGAGCAAGTTGTTGATAGGCATGAAGAGAGGAAGGAAAGGATTGATTCATTTTAGTTCTGATGAGGCAAAATTATAATGATGATAAAAGATACTATTATTATTTAGTTGGTTGGATACGAGAAGGAGGAGGAGGTTAGTGAAAATTGTTGTTGACAGTGTGGAAAATGCCAAAAGAAACTCTGAGAGATCAACAAAATTGTGAGATGATCTTGTGGTGGATGAATGAAAAATGAAAATTTGTGTACAAGTTGTTCGATGGACACTAACAATGAATGTGTTTGTTGGTAGTGATGATCGTTGTTGTTGTTGTTGGTATGGAATGGTGGAGTGGAAATTGTTTTTAGGATTGGGAGAGAGAATTCGTTAACGGAAAGAGATGAGAGAGGCTTCAACTGAATTCGCTATTCGCTTTGGAAGAGAGAATGGAGTTGGGAATAGGCTGTGGTCGTTGTGATATGGTCTTTGTTTTTTGTGTTGTGATTTTGTATGGTAACCTGCGTCAATTCAAATATGACAGCTGGCAGGTATTCAGAGAACGAAGTTTGGAACACCGACCAAAAAAATTCAAGTAGCTCCGATTTGGCAATCAGTTTTGTCTGACAGAAGAGAGGTTCGTTGTGAGAGTATTATTTTCTTCCAGCTCGCGACCATTTTAACCTGCCAACTGTCATTCTCTAGAAAATACAAGTAAAAATCCTTAAAGCAACGTGTCGTGCTGTCAGTTGTATGGAATTTTTTCAAGTATGAAAAGAAAAGAGTATTTCCCTTGTATAAAGTAAAACGGATCAAACGAACGTTAAGAACCCTGAACGAGCAAACAATGATCAATTGTTAAAAACTATTTGTGAAACACAAGTTCAAGGATCACAAGTAACAATGATCCCATCAAACTCTGTTGAAATGATTCAAAAAAGGTTTCAAAATTTACGTACAGATCAAGGTCGAATGGACCATGCATGTGCATGGAGATGAATAAATGTGTAAACACATTTACAGTGTTGTGAGAACAACATACATGAAAGGCTGCATCTCAATGTTTCGGAAATGAGAAGAGATGGAATGTAGAAATTGAGAAGGAATACATTTATAGCGAACGTCGGGTCCGATGAGACTTCAAGTTCAAAGAACAACTCGTTCCTGGATCGATTTTTGGAATGAGAGGACTTTTGGTATAATTTCTCATGAGCTCCATCAGACCAGAGAATAGTTTTCTCAACCTGTTGGTTACGCAACCTTAAAATTGTACATTATTCATTCTTAAATCACAATTCATAACAATAGTAATAATTGTTTTTTTATAAAAATTTACAACAATATTATTGAATATCAATTTCACACACAACCACATCTTGAGCATGTGAAGACAATCGAATGGTCAACATTTGTCTTTGTTCATTTTCTCTCATGTAATTGGTAAAGAAGGTACACAAAACGGTGGTTCCTCCTGTTAAGGATTGTTGATGACTCGCGTAATAATTGGTGGTTGCTTTGTAGGTTCCTTTTTGTGCCTTCTTGAGCATGTATTCTTCAGGTCCGTATCCTTGTCTGAAATCTCTTGAAACATAACCTCCCATAGTGGTTCGATTATGACCGAAATAACTAGAATTCCAAATTTGGGAATTAATTGGAATTAATTTAAAATTTAACAAAACATAAAATCAACTACTTACGCATGCTCTCCATATCTTCCAGGTTCTTGGACGTGCAAATCAATATCAACATCATTGGTATCCCAAGCCATTGAAATTCTCACATCCAAATCAAAGTGATGAATCAATCTCTTGTCCACAATTGGTAAATCCTTATCCTTCAACAATAAATGATTCATTTCAGTGGCAACTGTTAATTCAATTTCATCAAATCTCATGTCCCATTTTCCTGTAATGACCTTATTAAACAGTTCCATAGCTTCACGATATTTGCCCATTCTTTCTTTCACTAAGGCAAGATCTCTGTATGATTGAGGTTCACCAGGTGACAACTTTTTCACTCTTTCAAAGACCCATTCGGCCAATTCCAATTCATTGGCTTGATCCAAACGATATCCTACAATACGATATAATTGAGTATTTTCCAATTCTAATTCCGAAATATTTGAAAGAATTCTCACACCCAAAGTCGTGTCCTTCAATTTGGCCAAGAATAAATCAGCCACGTCGAGATAGAATGCTGGAGAATCTCTGTAACTTTCTCGTTGTTTCAAATATTCCTTGTATGGGTTGGAGGAGTTGGCAATTTCAGCACAGTAGGCAGCTTCTGGAGTCCATGGTTTGATTTTAATGGCTCCTGAGACTTGTTTGGCTTGTGGTGCTTGTGATTCAGATTTCTTTTTCTTATCCTTCTTTCCAGAGGAGGCAGATTTCCTAGATTTTTTTTCTACCACTTGTTCTTCCTCTTTTTCACATTCTTCCTCATCATCCATGCTGACACATTTGCTACAACATTCAGCGACTTCATCACAGATAGGCTCGCAATCCAATTCCGAACGACAACATTCTCGCTCTTCCATAATTGGTCGAGCGGATCTGCTAAGAACAGGAGGAGGTGCACAAGGTAAGGCACTGCTTAAACTACAACTCAACATGGATGGTGGTGGAGGACATAATTGATCTGCCATGGATCCTCCCAAACTGACACATGTGGATTCTGCACATTTATCATATTCAACCTCCTTCTCTTCAGGAATGTTAAAATCAGTCTTGTGCCATTGGACACGACTCAACCACATGGAAATAATTCGTTCGAGCTTTTCTTTTTCACGATCTTGTTCTGATTGTTTTTCTTTTTGTTTCAATTCATTGAATTGTTTCAATACTTCGGGAAGTGAAGTAGGAGGAGTAATATCATGCTTCAAATATTGATCTAAGGTTTCCAATACTAAGAGTGAAGTATTGTCAGTAACAATTCGGAAATCTTGTCCAATCTTTTTGATTTCATCCTTGAAGAGATGAGGGAATGCAGAGAGAGATTCAATCTTTTGTTGAGCCCATAAGAGTGGAACAATGGCTGCTTCTTCATGATTGGTGGTGTCTACTGGTAAAGCAATTTCTTGAACATGATACACTTCACTGCCATATCTGAAGGAGACGGCAACGTTGACAGACGACTTGCCACTGGATTTGAATTTACCAAACAATTTAAAGACCTCTCCCTCTTTAAGTGAAACTGGTTCGTTTGGATACACTTCTTCGAGTTCAGCATCTTCGAAATCTGCAGTAGCAAAGGAGAGCACTGGTTTTCCAATCGAGTCCAATAACTCCTGTTCTTCGAGTTCATTGGCATTAAGATACAAACCACCACTCTTGGTTGCAATGTGACGCAACAAGGATGAATTCACAACGGATGATGAATTGACAAAATAGACTGGTTTGGTAAAGTTACACATTGGAGTAATTTCATGGCCAAAGGTATGCACACCATTGGTAAATGCAACGCAATAATCAACTTTGGATGAAATCAAGTCTCTGTCCAATAAGAGCATATTTGAACCGCCGTCATAAACAACTTCATCTTTCACATGCTTGACAAGATCTTTCACAGAGGAGAATTCCTTAGTTTCAATGACAGCATTTGAGAATGTAGAAAGTACAAGAGATTTTGCTCCAACTGCACCAAGGATGGATTCTAACAATTTCACATTCTTGGCATGACTGTCCGATTGAGACATGGAACAATCCCACATAATTTGAACCTTATCACCAATTCGTGACATGTTCTTCAACTTGTCAGTCAAATTTGGAACAGGAATAGAAGTCATAAAATAACCATTCTCACAAGCAAGTAAAATGTCATTGACACTATCTGTCTTTTTAGTGACTGTCAAATTGAAACCTGTCATGTTTTCTTTGAGATCTGCCTTTGTCAATGCAAAATAACCAGTTCTCTTACTGGCATTCTTACTCGACCACAAATGCTCAGTGGTCTTTTCAGTTTCAGATTTGGCAAGACCCATTTGGACTTCAGTTTCATAACCTTGCAATGAGGTTTCATTGAGTGTGAATTCAATCTTGCTTGATGATCTGAGTGCTGAAAAATCTAAGAAGGACATTGGAACCCAAGCACTTCCTTTCACAACACCCTTTTCACCATTCTCTGAACTCACTCTCTCGGAAAGCATCATTTGATATTTCACTTGAACAGTCTTGTCAGTGTCATAGGGCAATGGATACAAACGAGTTTTGAAACAATTCGATTGAGCTACTTTTTCAACCATTGAGACCTTATTTCCTGATCGAACTTCAGCTTCAAAGACTTCCTTTGCTTTTTCCTTTTCAACTGGAACAGCATCGACAAGTTTGCCATTAATTTCCATAGCATAACCAATCAGTGTAGCACCTTCTGGCATTGGTAACATTAATTCACCTTCAATTGTTTTTTGATTCTTATTTCGGAAAGTCATGGTCGAAACGACTTGAACAATGGGATACATGACATGACATTTCACATGATGCTCGACCAAAGGTAAGAGCGTGGAGGCTTTATCAGAAAACTTTTCACCGGTTAATCGAACCGAGATGAAACTATCCAAAGGATATTTCTGTAACAAGGGTGAGACATTGATTCCAGGAGGAACACAGGCTGTAGATGATGAAGTGGTCACTGGTTTCTGATCATTGCCTTCTTCTAATTGGGCGAGTTCATCATCGACGGCTTTGGATGACTTTTTACTTCCGAATAATTTGTTAAACATTTTGTACAGGTGTTTAGATCTAAAAAGGAATGTTTGATGATGATGATCGTGTGGTCGAGGATAGGATGAGAATGACAATAACAATGTTGATCACGTGTCTGAAGGATTCAAATCAAGAAATTTTTTTTTTTGAATTTCGGAGAAAATGCCAGCGAATGAACTTTTGAATTCAGACCAGATTCACGAAGTTGGAACTCTGAAAAGGAGCTAGTGCAAGAACTTGGTGTGAATTCCTTAAAGCCCTAGGGGCAGCCCTCAATGACACACTACAGCTAATCTATGGACCTTACCGTTAGGAGTGGTCTCTGTAAATGACATTAACAACTAATAATTTCCTTGGTCTTGACTACTGTAAGGTCTTTCAGATCGATGGACGGAAAAGATGTGAAAAACTGAAACATACCAAACTGCTAAAACCAAGGAATGTTGTCTCTTCGAAGGAAATTGGAGTTTCGATTGTGTGACTTCAGCAACCGAACAGTAATCATCTTCAAATCATGCATGCCACATCCTTGAACTTCTTTCATCCATGTCTAAATTTGTGTTATTTCCAATTTTATCGAAATGCATTTGCAACCTATTTTCACCTTCTCGAGATGCATTCAAAAAAACAAAAACCACCACCAACACACTCTGTGATTATCAGAGACCACTCATCATCGAAAGCAATGTCATCTTCTCATTTTGGCATGGATCCATCCTTGTATCCTAATCTTTCAGAACCTCAACAACAACCACCCTATCCGAACATTCCTCCACCTCCCATCAATAATGTCAATCCATTTTCAATATCCAGTGCTTCCAATGCACCACCACCTCCTCCTCCTCAACAATATGTTCAAACTCCTCCTCCATTTCATTCTGTCAACATTTCGAATCATGCTTCAAGACAACAAGAACCACAAGGAATTAATGCTGAAAATCCAATTCCGATTCATTATCAATCCATGGAAGAACCCAAAGCTCCTTCCTTAAAGTCTTCTCAAGAGTTTCCATCTCATGCTCATGAAGGAGCATCTCATCCTCAACATCCAACGCATCCTCAACAACAACAAACTCTTCACTCCTCTCAACAACCTATTCAACCTCAAGAACAAGGTTATCATGCCATTTATGTGCATGATTTAAGAGTCACACCCAATGACTATGTGGAAAGTTCAGAATCAGCGGAAGCTAGCACATCGTTCTCTCTTGCCTTGTGTTTGGCATTGTTATTTGGATGTGTCGGATGTTTCCCATTGACATGTATTCCATTCTGGTTTACCTATGCCACGTATCGAGATTCGGCGAGTCCTCAAGCTCGATCGTTGGCCGCTTTATCGAAGAGTTTGTTTTGGGTGTTGGTCTTGTTAAATACGTGTTTGTTTTGTGTGACTTTGTTTGTGGTTGTGATTGTTCCACCGGTGGTTGTCGTGCCGAGATATTATCACATGTACTAGTAGATCTGTAAAGATTTTATAAATTGGAAATTCGAATTTGTAACATTGTTTGGTAAAATTATTAAGTTTTCTTATATCTTTCGCGAGACATAAGGCATCCCCGAAGGTTATCACCCTTCCCTGTGCATACTATTCGGCGAACGATAACAATAACGACGGAGACTAGTTATGGGAAGTATTGTCATAGCGTTCGAGGTCAAATAATAATGACAATACATGAATGGTATCAATATGGAATTCCAGGCTAATGATCTTCCTATGATTATGTCTTGGATCTACAGCCAGTTCCAACTCCTTTGCAGAATTCAGAGGAAATTTACAAGTTGCTTACGGAGCTGAGAAGAATGGAAAAGTTTTTGGAGCTGGTACCTCTGATGATACATGAAGGAACGATTGAAATTGCATTTATTAGCTGTGGAAGTTGGACTACTAGTGTTTTGACAAAAAAAGGAAATGTGTATACATGTGGAGAAGCTAGCTCGAAGGTAATTACTTATCCTCGCAAAATGAATAATTCTTTGTACAAGAACTCTTCTCTGGGCGCATCTTGCGAGTGGAATCAAGAGGAAACAGCTAATCGATTCAAATTCCGAATTTTATAATGGAGATCCAATGTCAAGCAATTGTTGTGTGGATGAAAGATAATACATTACGAGCATTTGAAAGGTAAGGTTGCTACAAATCTAAGAATGTTTGAAATTCTAGCCGTGGATAAGGGAAGGTCATCACCAAACAAATACTTTTGAGGATAGAGAAGGTAATGTGAATCTTATTTATTCAACTATTAGACATGCGCACGTACACGCGGCGAAGAATAAATAATCCGTTTTACCAACCATCTTTCTGTTGATTTACAACAAACTGAATTTGTTAAAGCACTCAAGCATAGTCTCTTCATGAAAACGGTTTTACAAGACCTTTCTTTCCGTTTCTCCAATTATATTCTTCATCCCTACTCCAACGTTGATGGTGTAGATAAATAACATGTTAAAAGGATATCCTTTTAGGACTTGAAGAATGGTCATTGACAGCCCTTTCGAAGTTAAAGATTAATGTTTAATCTCGACTAGGTCTGCAAAGAGTGAACTGGAAATTCGAATTTGAATTTCAACAGTTGTACTATTAATAATGTTTTTTGAATTCAAAAAAATGAACCAAGATGAACTGGTGAAATTGATTTTGATAGATTTAAGAGTGGTGTTCCGATCGGATATCCATGATCCCAATCAAGAAGAAAATCAGCAATATTCAGATCGGTTATTGAAATTTCTGCAAGAAAAATTGAGATGTAAAAAGTTTGTTCCGAAAGCCTTTTCCTTGAATTCTGAATTGATTGAAACGATCGAACAAAAAGATCTTCCACCACAGAAAAATGGTGATCACATGACGTTTATATATATTTGTGATGTCAAGATCTCGTACAATTACGATAGTATCATATTGAGTGATTATGGAACTCATCACATTTTCGTTTTTGGATTAGAGTCAAAAAAATTTAAGACAAGAATCAAAACTTTAAATAGTCCTTCATACTTGTGTATTGAGGAGAATTATGTAATGCCTTCTTCGGATGATTCTATTGAGGATGCAAATCACAATATTCAACGTGGCAAAGATGCATTGCTTGTTGTTTGTGAGAGTCGAAACATGCTTCTTAAATGTGATTTCAAATTGTTGTTACAACAACCTGATGATATTGTTTCAAGTGATGATAAATCAACACAGGAATCTACACATGATAGTATTCTTTGGTCTTGTGATTTTGATTCATGTCCTCAAGGAATGGCTATCAAAGACAATCATCTCTTTGTGTGCTTGGCTAGTGCTATGATCAAAATAATGGATTGTTGCACAGCAAAAACCATCAGTGAAATTCCTTTAACATTTGACCCGTATGGAATCACATTTACAAATGATGGAAAGACGTTACTTTGCTCCACATTCTCACATGAAAACGTTGGCAGTGTGTACTGTATATTCGAAGAAAGTGAGAATGATTGGAAAATAGGCAAAAGTTTTGGCACATATACATTGCGCCGCCCTTATTCTTTGCTAAGTGACAAAGTTTCCAATCACATCATTGTCAGTGATTTACCCAGTTCTAGAATTGTCATTTTCACACCCGACGGTCAAATGGTGAAATCATTCCAAACTGCGTCAATGATTAAACCATTTGGAATTTGTCTGAATGAACGAACTGGGGAATTGATTGTGTGTGATCACAGCAGTGAAATGGTGTTCATTTTCAAATAATTGGACAAGCTTCCATACATATGAAAACCTCTCTTTTGGAAGATCACATACACTCCTTCTCGACTACTTTGCCATTCTCAAAAAAGATTACAAGGCATTATCCTTATTGACACGAAAATATCGAGAAGGAGTGTATGTGATCTAGAGTGTGCTCATTGAACTGGATATTACTTGGAGAATATCAAGTGGAAACAAGGATAAAACCAAAAGAAACGCAGAAGCAAGCGAGAAGCGATGAAGACGAGGTCACTCTAAAGCTAATTACTAAATCAATACTGACAAGAACATGAAAATCATTAGAAATAATTGGGCTTTTATTGACATTATTTACAGCGATAGGATTTTACATCCTAATGGCTAGTTCTTGCGAAATTTGTGCTCGAGTTTTTCACCTACGGACGGCTCGTCTGGTGTCAAACCCTTTCCTGAGCACGAATTACTGCTGCTACTAGTTGCAACAGTTATAATCGCAATGTCACTAAAACCCTTCATTCCTTTGTTTTTTGAAAATCTTGCATTTTCATTGCTATTTAAAGTTTTGCCACGAGTCGGGAAGTCTTGCAAAGACCCACTGTCAAAGCTAAAAATAAACGCTTTCTTGGATAAAACACCTTCACCTTCCATCACGTTACTACAGTGGCTCAGAGCTTTTGATTATCTTTAGACATCTTTAAACATCTTGTCATTGCTTTTCAGATGATACGGTGAGTCAAATGATTGGGATGTTATGTTTGGAGACGTTTGGATTGGTTTTGAAACACAACCTTGACGCTGCCTTAACACGAGTTCACTATTCACAAGAACCAAGAACTTGCTCGAACGGTTTACCTTCAAAAAAATGCAAAAAAGTCTCAAACTGGTTGCTGTTGGTGATGGAGCTGTAGGCAAAAGTTGTCTGTTGGTGAGTATTTGATTCTCATGTGACGGACTCGAAATGTAATGAAAAATTGAACAGATTGCATGCTCCACCAATTCATTTCCTGAAGAATATGTTCCGACAGTTTTTGACAACTATGTAAGTCATCATGATGATCAACACAGGCATATTCATGAATTTACCAAAAAATAGAGTTCGAACGTGTTATGGAATGGAGAATGTTATAGTGTTGGACTGTGGGATACGGGTAAGTTCTATGTTTGTATTGCAATGACCATTGACATTTCATCATAGCCGGACAGGAGGATTAGTAAGTATCCATAATACATAATTACATGACATGTGACACCAATGCACCACAGTGGTATGTAATTTTCACAGAATTGTCATCAACCAATACATTAATTTTTCAAGATCGTTTGAGACCATTGTCATATCCTGGAACTGATGTATTTTTATTGTGGTAAGCATTCAAAGAATTGATTTATTTTAATTTTTCAATTATTTGTAAAGTTTTTCTATGGTAAACGCTACTTCCTTAGAAAATGCCCAACACAAATGGATTCCTGAATTGAGACATCATTGTCCAGATGTACCTGTAAGTAGTTTAAATTTGCCTTAATCACTTACATTTTTTCAATAGATTGTTTTAGTGGGTTGTAAATCAGATCTTGTGACCAATTCTTCGACAAGTGACAATACTCGCGCACCAGTCTCCAAAGAAATGGTTGAAGAATTCATGAAAAAGAATGAAAAGCACATTTCCAATGTCATTATCACTTCATCGAAAACCATGTATAACATCAACAAGATTTGGGATGTTGCCATTTCTGCTGCCACAAGTAATTCCAATGCCAAATCGAAGAAAAGCAAAAGAAAGACTAAAATTATTGGTGACATTGAAGAAGTTGAACCCATGCCACCAGTAATGCCTCCAGCAGGAAAAGCTCCTTGGATTTATGTTGAAAATTCTACATTTGGAGATGGATTTAAAAAATCATTGAACCAAGAATTCTTATCCGACACTCGGTTTGTTATTTTTGACAACAAGGAGCAAATGGAACGAGAAATTTGGGCGCATCAACTCGTGCTTAGTTGTGGTCCTTCGAAAATTATTGAAGATTTTGCAGATCAAATCATGCAAGCCAAGTTGGATCATACACTCGATGAAATTTGTAATCAAGTGAATTCAGGACGTGTCACTGGATTTGCTTCCATGTCTCTAACCGATCATACGAATGATCCACAAAAGAAATATTTTGAAATCAAATTAAGCAATACGGTATCGTATGAGTCCTTCTTGTGTTTGTTGGAAGTTATTTATTATGGACAGTCAGAAACGTTGAAAAGCAAGAGAAGTGATTCCAAATTCCTGAATCAAGTCAAAACCACTGCATCTATCTTTGAATGTGAATATTTAGAAAATATGGCAACAAACTTCCTGGATGGCCTCGAAGATGTTTTCAATGAGAGTTTGGGAACATTTCTCAATGACATGTTAGGTAGTAAGGCAAAACAAAAATATTTTGGAAAAAAAGATCATGCAGATGTGTGTTTGAAATTGAGCAATGATCCACAAGATATTCGAGAAATTTATGCTCACAAATTGTTCTTGTCCGTCAATTGTGAAGTCTTTAGAGCCATGTTTGAAGGAAATTTCGTAGAAAATACTTCCGAAATGTCACAAGTCGATTTGACAAGTGAAGTGGATGCCACACAACCTGGTCAATTGGATATGAGATACCACGAATATCAATCTCTCATTGAATATTTATATTCTGCCCATTCCACCATTGATGAAAACAACGCCATTGGTTTAATGTCTCTTTCCAATCAATACGGCATGTCAGGACTCACTTCCATGTGTGAAATTTACATTTCAAAAATTATTGACAAGTCCATTGCCAAAGGAATTGAAAAAGCAGATATTGACATTATTGGAATTTTATTATTGGCACAAACATACGCTGCCAATCAATTGGCTCAATTTTGTTTACATTTTATTTCAACCAATTATGAGCCCATGAAAGCAAGAAAAGAATGGACTTTATTGACTGGCTCCAATAAGCAATATGTTGGTGAGTATCGTTGTTTCACACAATTTTCAATTGACACAGTATCGTATTGGACCAATACTGTCGATTTCAAATTCATTCATTTGAATTGTTTACAAATCATTATATTGGAACTTTAAAGAGGAACATAAATGGCCACCAGATTCGTATTTCAAAGAAGTTGAAAAATATCAAGCAGCGATGGAGAAGTATTTGAAGAAGAAAAAGAAATCTGATAAACGATCCAGTAATGTGGACGAAACTGGAACGGAAGAGAGTGAAATGACTTCTCTCGAAAAAGATAAAAAGAATTGCACGATTCAATAAATATCAATTGATTCATGCAAAGAACGATATTCACACTACAACATTCATAAGTGTGTTTCTCTTGACCTTAGAACAAAGTTCACCTCAAACATGTTGCCATTATTTCCAGTTTGGTACTTCGAAATTTTTGACACTTGACTTTTTGATGAGCAGTCAGACATTAAAAAAACGTTCCATCTTGATCAGATCCTAGAGCGTGCAAGTGGTACCTACACCAGCACACCAACTCGTTTGATCGCTACATCACACACTCAAGGACCTCTTGTTGATCACTTCTATCATCAACGATCATTGTTCAATTTTTCCTTTCCATTACATTAACCAATCTGTTGTACTCTCTTCATTCCGAAACCTACATTTCGAACCGAACCAATCACAATTTTCACTCTTCAACTATTTTCAAAACATGTTTTCCAATCTTTTCAACTTTTTTGGAAGTAAAAACAATCGACAAGAATCCAATCAAGATTTACAACAAATTTCGACAGGACTTGAACAAGATTCTTCATTGTCCATAAATCATCCAACAACGAACAATAATAATAATAATAATAACAACAACAACAACAACAACAATAATACGAATACGAGCAATAGTAGTAATAGCAACCTAACGAATACAGCAGCAACATCAACAGCAGCTTCCTCCTCACAGGCTAATGATCATCAAAACCAACAACAACCATCTGGAAATATATTTTCATCCATTCTTCAAAACCTTGTTCGAAAATCTAACAACAACAATTCTTCTTCTTCTTCTAACACTGGTTCAACATTTAAAAACAATTACAACAACATGTACAACGGAGGATCCTCATCATCAGCAACGTTTTATTCCTCTCCAAAGGATCATCTTGGAATTGCTCCTTCCATGCGAATTCCAGACTTTCAAACTTCGTTTATGAGTAAAACGGAACGTCGAAAGGAAGCCTTATTGCTTCAATCCATGATGAAAGATCATTTGAATGATTCTAATTCTGTGATTTTCTCATTTGGTGAAAGTAATGAAATGCGTGGATTGAGACGAGATGCTCGTTCCGATGCTGCCAATCCTCAATATATAAGAACTCCTTTTAGAATTTGTTCTGTTGCCATGGGATATACATGCACGATTGCTTTAACGTCAGATGGTTTTGCTCTTTCGTGTGGAAGTAATGGTAATGGACAATGTGGTGTGGCGAGTGAGAATGCGAGTGGAATTGATTTTAGTCAATTTCATTTGATTGAGGGATTGGTAGAGGAGGAAATTGTGCAAGCAAGTTGTGGATATTACTTTTCATTGTTCTTGACTAGGGATGGTCGAGTGATTGGATCTGGGTATGTCATTTATATATTTGGTGTTTTTATAACCTCTCTTGATTCTAATTTATTATCAATTAATTGTTACAAAATGTGTTTTTATTACTAACTAATAATTTATTAATCAATGGTTACAAAATGTCATGATTGAAAAAGTGATAATTCACATGGACAGTTAGGTTGTGACACTTACATGCCAAAATATGTATTGGTCGAGTTGAAAAATCTTCCTCCTATTCGTTCCATTCATGCTGGATATTATCATTCACTGCTTGTGGGATTTGATGGAAAAGTTTATGCATGTGGTCAAGGATTTCCTCGAACTCCAACCATTGTTCGAGGTTTGGAGGATGAATTCATTGTTTCAGCCTCTGGTGGTTACGATTACAGTTTTTTCATTACCAAAAACGGAGAAGTTTATGGCCATGGTGAAATTGGACACATGATTCACGGAGGTAGCAATGGAAAATCTAGCGCCACAAAAGTTAAAGGTTTTAATCACTTTGTGACCTCTTCCAGTTCTGGATATTACCACACTCTGTTTACAACGAGAGAAGGTGTCATTTATTCATGTGGAAGAAATCAATACAATTGCCTGAATAGAGCCATTGAAAAGAAACATTTCAACAATGGTGGAGATGAGTGTAAATTATTAGAACACAAGTATATGAAAAATATCATTCAAGTGAGTTGTGGTGGTTATCACTCTGGATGTCTCGATACAGAAGGACGAGCTTACACCTTCGGTCACAGTGGATTCTATCAAGCTTGTATTGATTCGGAACAACCTGGAATTTTACACACTGCAGTGTCTGAGAAGGAAATGGCAACCATGCCTTGCTCGCTCACGATTCATGTACCAACCAAAGGAAAGCAATTGAAATCTTGTGCCATTGCATGCGGTGGATGGAATTCTATGGTTGTTTGCTCGCCGTATATTTTTGTTTCCTCTTCCAAGAATGAGAAGGAAATGATTGCAAAACTGAAACAATTTGCATCGGAAGGAGATTGTGACTCTTCTCAACATTCACTCTTTGATATTGACATTGTGGCACGAGATGTGAAACGAATGAAACATGCTTCAAGTATCCATGAAGAATGATTTGAAAAATTATGACATTAAAGAAATTATTATAAAAGCATGTCAATACTTTAAATTCATCATGTATGCTTGTTTATGCTTCATAAGTACTGCTTGAATTTATTCAATACACGTTTCTAAGGTTTCTTTCATCCACAAGGAATGAAGGTTCATACATGATTCATGAATCTTGTTCAAATTAATTCTCATTCCATAATAAAAATGAGCCAACCACTCGCTGAAGTTCCTCCGCCTTTTGCTACCAACCGCCAGCAAGAGGAGGAGGCTTCATCATCAGCATCCATAACAATATTCAACAACGATGATCAAACGAATGATCCACATAATCTTCATGGCCAACAACAGGAAGAGAATGGCCAACATATTGAACAGCATGTCCCAGGGAAAATGTTTAAAACGCATTCCCGAGATGTAAGAACCCACATAACGACAAGAACAACAACAATCCGAGGCTCACAAAAATTGGACAATGTAAATAGCAATCATACAGTAACGAACAATACATCAGGTAGAAATTTGGAATATAAAAGTGGTGATGTTGCAAAAGAAGTTTCCACAACATCCACACCTCCGTTGATTGAAGTGGAAAATGATACTGAACAACAACATGAACAAAACAATGAAAGCAGCAGAAAACAACAAGACCGTTCACCCCCATCATCGTCGCTTGCGTCTCCCGAAATGAACGGATCGGCAACAAAAAGAAAAAAGTCGGTAACGTTTCATCCAGAGGTTGTGACTTCTTCCCGATCGGTGTCACCCACCACTCATTTTATGAACGGAGGATCTGATGATCTCATTGGTCAACACGAGAATGAACCTTCGTTTCGAAATGACAGCGACATGAATGGTGTTGGAAGCGTTTTCTTCAAACATCCAGCTTGGTTGGTTTATACATTCCAACATTCATGGAGAGTAAAACTACAAGAATATGCAAGTAATGACTCTGACGAGCCAGAAGAAAATCTTACTAGCCTATTAACTTTGGATAAAATTATGAGTCGACCCATTGATATTGAAAGCCCAATTTGGTACTTTCTTCCAAAGAGGTTAATCCAACCTTCGACAATCGAAAACGATCAATTCAAGATTAATAATTATCAAATGGATGAGGATGATCTAGAGCCAAAGTTTGAAGTTTATTTTAATTATTGGGCACAATTACGAGACTCACTATTTCTGCGTTTACGAAAAGAAAATAAGAAGCTCAAAAGTGAAAAATCATCAAACGCTCAGCTGTGGTATGGATATCACAACGCAGCAATTTTATCCTTCTTCATTGAAACTCAAAAAGACAGCTTACATGATTTGCAAAAAGCTCTACACTTTAGAATTTTTGATTTACTATTTGAATCTATGGCTCAAACAAACCAAGCTGAGAATGCAGAGAATGTAACACTAATCTCAGATCAAGAATTAACATTGATGAAGACAGTATGCTTTTTTTATATTGAAACAGAGCATTTATTCCATGCTACAAGTGTATTGTATCATGTCATGCGAAATTACTGTTTCACTGCTGAATCATACCAAAAGTTGGTTCAAAAATGGTCGACAAGTGACTTGGAAAAGTCAGAAATATATCCTTCTAATATTGACTGGAAAGTAGTCTACCTGATACTACGGTTGATATCAAAGTATTTGGAAATTCTTGAAAGAAAATCCACTGAATCATCCTTTGTTAGCCAGTTGCAATATGACGAATTTTGTAAGGTTGATCGAGGGTTGTCCCAATTCTCACAGAACGATCTCCTCTGCTTTCGTAATTGCGTAATTGAACAAATTTGTAAATATAAGCCAAACCATGACCTTTACCTATTGTGGAAGGACAAATGGCAAGCTGACGATATATCAAACTCGTGTAAGGCATTTCCAAGAATTGAAACAGAACCTGAATTATTGGAAAATTGCTTTTATATTATATATTTAATAATTTCGAAAGAACGAGAGCGAATTTCTGAAAAGGGTTTCACAGATAATAATACAAACACTACCGACTTTAAACCAAAGGTAAATGAGAGCCGATCAAAAACCACCCTATTATCCAAGCTTGGTAATTATTGGAAAAAACTTCGAGTTCGATTGTTTGGAAATTCTAGCTTGATGACCATAATTCTATATATTGCAGGAGTTCTTGGAACCGCTTTTATTTTGAAAATTATTTATCAGTTCTTTAACACCTCAAGTTTATCTCGTTCTGAGAATCAATTCAATTTGAGCAGAAATGATTTACGTCTGCCTTATCTTACATCCTCACAATTTGGAAGCGCCTTACCTTCGAAAATGGATGTCTCACCACTACACCAACAACAGACTCCTACAACACGATATTCATCACCTTCATTGAACTTTGAAATTGCTCACAGCACAAAACCATCGTCTTCACCCGTTGCCACTCTTGGAACATCATTTAATACGCATCCAGAAAATAGAACTATCCATAAGGACAATATTAGAACCATTCTAAAACCAAGTAATTTCAAACAGGATTTTTATGAAAAAGTTGACCAGACCAATGGCCAGGTAGATCGTGTAGTTGAACGAGACTTTAATTACATTTCATCATTGCGCGACGAAATGGATCATGTATTTGACATTGCAGAGAAAATGAAACAACCAAAAAAGAAATCGACCTCTGAAGATATAAAACAAGCAACACAAAAACCAGTTGTGACGTTCCAAGTTGGAGAAGATACAGAGCAGCAAGCAAGTAGTCCTGTTATTTCCTCATCATCATCCATTGCTGAGAATGTGAGATCGCAACCAACCATTTCAATCGATACCTCTTTACCTCCCTCAGACTACACTCCAATGGGTTTTGGTAGTGACGAACTGCCACCATTCCCCTCAACAAATCAAAATCGTAATTTGGCAACATTTATTGGAAGTGAAGGCGTTTCAAAAAGCAATGTTGTTGCAAGCAATAGGTTAAACAACTTGAATCGAACCATTGGAAGTAATCGAAAAACTTCAACCACGACTAGTTCCACGACAAGGAAAAAGACATCCACTCCCAACACTGGAGGACCAAAAGTGTTGGAAAACGAAAGATGTAAACAAACAATACATTATGTCACCAAAATGAAATCATCCACAAGTGTCATTTAACAATTGTTAAATTCGCTGCGAACCTGAGCTTATGAAACAGTTGGGAAGCAAAGGACAACGCAGTGGTTCTGTTAAAATTTATTAGAAATCGAACCAATGTTAGAACCATTCAGAACAAGCAAAGTGCAGATGTTCGATTAGGAGATGGATATTTTTCGATCATGTGAAGAAAGGAGGTACCACTCTTCAAGCATTGAGGGAGAGATTACACTTGTTTAGGTTTGTCAAGAATGTGTCTCAAAAGCATCGTTCTCGTCGGTATTAGATGGCTGGACACATTTTCAAGAATTCTTGTTGTAAACTGCTTTTGGCCATTACAAATCTTTCCTTAGGTTGGCTATTGATTTGACGCACAGCAAATCATCACAAAGAAATCTAACTATAATACAACTATTTATTTTCAATAGGATAAATAATTTCGTAATGGCCAGGTCTGAATAGCAAATGTACGACTGGTTCCTTGTCAGAGCCATCAGGAATTGTATATCCAAAAACGTCAAACTTGTCGCTTCCTCTTGATTGAGCGTCCAAAACTTCAACTCTAATGCAAACCTTAAATGCGCTTGTCATGGCAGTTAAATGAATATTATCACAATCTCGATCCATAATCTCAATCTCAGCATGACAAAAATCTTTTGCTGTGGCGTATTGATCCAAAAAGAATGGTAGATAATCATCTGTGTTCATCTGAATGTGTCCACTCAACAAAAATCTCATAAAGCACACAATTGCTTGAGAAGTCATCATGAGATCAGTAGTCTTATCGGAAAAGTAATTTTGTAGCAAGCCTTCAACGGTATGGATCACACCATCTCTCACCTTTTCAAAAACTTCCTTTGTAATGCCATAAAAGTCTTCCAAACAATGCTCCGGATAATTCAATACTTCAATCAAGTATTTATAATGCTGATCAATAATATCAATCATTTGTTGGGTAAGAGTCTTATCCTTTTTCCGAATCAAGTAATCCAACAACCCGAACACAAAAGCTCTAATAAAACAATTACCATCTCCTCTGATTCCTCTAATATGAGAATACTTTTTCAACAAGTAGGATCGTTCAATCTTTTCCTGAATCACATGATCTCCGATGTTATAAGCAAGAGTGGAGAGTGTTAGCGGAGTTGCAACGGGATCTACCAGTGGAAATTGTTTAATTTCTTGTTCGATCGATCGTTGTTGGTTTTCAAATTGTTCATAGGTATAACTTTGAGAATTTGATGACGTGTTTGCAGAGGATTGTTGTTCTTGTGGAAGCATTTTTTCTAATTATTATTAGACATTTCTTCCCTGTTGCAAAACAGTTGGCAGGAATTCTCATTCAAGGATTTCAGGCATTTCTGAAGAAACGATGCTTTTTAATGTCTTAAAACGAAAAGAATAAGCTTATAAAGCGTTCCAAGTTTAGATTTTGCATTTATTCAAACCTTCACAACCCTATATCTTTTAAAGAAAAACCACATTTTACTGCTTCACCGATAGCATGCTTTGAATTTCATAGAGTTCCACAACGATAGTATCAAAAGATGGTCTTTCACGTGGCAACTGATGCCAACATTGCTTCATGAGATCCATATATTTGCTTATTGCATTCATTAAGGAGTCACTCATCACATCAGCGCTTTTTTCCTTATTACAAACATATTCTGAAACCCATTCTTTCATTTGTTCAGGAGAGTCGAATGGAATTTTTGGCCGGCTTCCTCTCAAAACAAAGGATAGAATATTAAGAGTATGGGTATTTGCCTCCTCTGTATTCGCATTCTCTGAAAAGTGCTGCAGTTTCTTGGCATTGGAAAATGGACTTTCCTCAAAAAACAGAGAATACATGATAACTGCAAAGCTATAGACATCAATTTTGCTTGCGTTCTTGAATCGATCCTCCTTGGATAAATAGCTAGAAGGGCTTGAAGAGCCAAAAAAGTCATTATTGGATATCGAACAAGAAGTACGTTGATTGAAGCTCGAAAGAAGTGACCCAGTGGATTGGGAATAATTTGACATGGTCTCATAGCTTGATGAGTCAGAAGAGAAGTTTTCTGGAGCACAATACAATAACGTTCCAATATTTGTGGTCATGGTTCGTTGTTGAACCGTGTTCGTTCCAACCACTCGACTCAATCCAAAGTCACAAACACGTACTGCTCCATTTTCATCTAGCAGAATATTACCTGGCTTCAGATCTCTATGAACAATCATTCTTGGCTTGAGAGAATGAAGATAAACCATTCCTCTAGCAACACCAAGAAGAATGTTAATTTTGGATTGAAAATCGAGGCTGTCTTTTCCATTTCTACAATTTGAGATTAATTTTTCCAGAGATCCTCCTTTCATGTATTCCACAACCATGAATTTTTGGTTTGGGTTGGGAGCACAAATTCCATAAAATGTGAGAATGTTGGGATGGCGAAGACTGCTCAATAACGTTGCCTCCCTTTCAAATTCACCACTTTCAGAATCCTCTTCTTCGTCATCAACTTTAACTGTTTTTACAACCATTAGGTGACTCTTTGCATTCAAAAAGCACTTACTCTGAATGATAAATAAATTCGAATAATCGCCTACAAATCTGCTTCTTGAAACAGTGCCCAATACGCAATTACCATAATACAAAGATACTATCGTAACGTTAAATGAAATAAATTGACCCCAACATGTCAAGTTATTGAATATCACTGTCAAACTTCTGAATATACTTGGTTCGAATCTTACCTTGTTCAAAATTCGTTCCTTCTATGTTTAAATAATATTGCATGGTTGCAGGAATGAATTTGTTCTGTTTGTCATTGCTTAATCGGATCATTGTTGAGAACAGTACACTGTTTGTGATTGTTAAATTAAAGCTGTACGTATGATCAATTTTACAATTAGACATGGCCAAATTATCAATTTCCATTGAAACAATATTCTGAGAATCTGCAAATATTGAAGTTAGGTCTAAGCTATTGCATACCACTGACACCCTATTGCTCGTAGATGATGTAAACCGAATTTTGTAATAGATGACTGGGCTATTAAGAAAGCTCTTCGGTTTACATGTAATTTGAGGGTTTGGAATGAATTCAAAAACTACATTTACAAAGGTGATA